ATTGTTCAAGATATAAATCAAACACGACTTAAAGTTTGGTTAATTTGTAATTTTCACCCTCATACATTTCTAGTTTTTAAAAAATAAATCCTTTTTTTTGGGAAAAAATTCATTCCTATAATTATCATGGTATTTAGCATAATGAATCATAAACTCACATAATAACTTCCTCGAAATCTCACAAAATCCAATTGACATTCACGCCAATATTGAAGGAAAAAATGTCGTTCCTACCCAAAGGTTTGCTCTCGTCGTCAATCATACCCAACAGATTTTCGATTAGCCAACTTTACCCTAATGTTTGAAATTTTCGTCAATTTCGTCCAATCGGTCCATTTTTATTTTGTACTGAAAAATAAAATTTTAAATTGAAATATCATTTAGAACGGTAAAAGTATAAGACATAAAATGATTCCGAACACCTCATGGGTCTCTACCAAAAAACAAAGTAAAGATAAATTTATTCCGAACACTTCATAGGTAGGATAGGAGAGAATTTCTTTAACAAATTGTCCCGAAATGTTTGAGACGACCAATCGCCACCCTTATTTAAAAATAAACAGCATAAATTAAATTGCAAAAGACAAGGGTTCCAGAGCCGTGTAAGGTATATATACAAAGAAAACTTGCAGAAGCAAGGGAAATATTCTGGAATTTGTATGGGCAAATAATATTAAGATCCTAGGCACACGTAGTAAGGTGTACCAAGCAGTGTGTGTATATCACCCAAAGTCAATAAAAAGTGGCCAATTTGATCCCGGTTTTCAAGTCTACACGCGCATCATTTAATCCGCAATTTTTTTATAAAAAAAAAATCCCGCAAAATCCGAATTTTAATTGCGTGATCACAAAACGTTATAAGTGAAGAATTTAAATTTTGAAACTGTAGTTACTATTTGTAATATCGTAACGATCATTCATCTTTCAATTATTATTTGCCTTCATCTTTTTCACCAAAACTGAGTGATTTTATACCATTCGGAATACCAATATTTATTCTGAAAAATTATAAAGGATGGAAGGTTTGAATTTAAATGTCAGAATTGACAGTAATTCCAGTGAGGAGGGTTGTGATTATGATGGCGAAGGTGTTGCGAATGTTGTTAAAGATGTTGCAGACTGCGAAGGATCGTTGAATTCGTATAATGATGTTGAGGAAATCAATGATGTTGATCATGTTGATTCAACAATTGTTCTTAGTGATGATAGATCTTTGGTTGAATTCGATGATCGTGTTTCTGAATCTTTGGAAGGTAATTTGATCATATTTAGTATATGCTATTTTTTTCTGAATGATTGTTGCTGCGAATGGTAATGCACTTCTATCATTAACTGATGAATATTTATAGGGTACCAGTAACGTATTGTTTTTAATGAATAGAGTAACGCGGGTTATGATTTTATTGATTAATGTCATGAACTCAATGATGTGTAATATTTTGTAACTAATGAATATTTTTCCATATATGATGAATAATTGTAGTTTATGAGTAGAGTAACGTGAAGTTCTGATGAATAGAGTTTCCCTGCTATTTCCAACGGATTTTGCAGTGCAGGTTATGTTTTATTTGATGAATATCAAGAAGTTACTAATGAGTAATGTGTGGTTTTTAATGATTTTTTTTCAGGGTTGTTTATTGGTTAATGAGTTTACGTTTAGTAATGAATTTTAGAAGTGTTAGTAATGAATTTTAAATTTTTTATGATGAACAGATAATGTGCTAATTGGACGTTATTATAACTCATTGGAAGAGGCTTTTTCTGATTATAATTCTTATGCAAAAAGCATTGGGTTTTCAGCAAAAAAGTTCAAAGACAGAAAAAGGCCCAATGGTGAAGTATATTGGAAACAGTTTGCATGTAGTAAACAAGGGGCCAAAACTTCAAAGGGTAAGTGCTATACAAAGACGGATACGCGTGTTGGTTGTTTAGCGATGGTTGTGTTGAGGATTGACGATGAAGGTATATGGAAGGTGGTGCAGCATGTGGTTGACCATTATCATGATCTTGTTCCTTTAAGACAGAGGCATTTGATTCGGTCTCAAAGAGAAGTTCCAGCGAATGATGTGATGCTTTTGTCCAGTTTGAAGGATAGTGGTATTGGTCTTATCAAGGGTTTCAGTTTTTTGAGGAATCAAGCACGAGGTGTTCCTAACCTAAGCTACACCGTACCAGATGTTAGGAATCAGGTTGCAACTCATAAACGTGCTAAATGGGAATGTGGTGATGCAAACAATCTGTTGGATTTGTTGAAGAAAAGGCAGGAGACAGAAGAAGGTTTTTATTACAACTATCTCCATGATGAAGAATGTAGGCTTTGTTGTGTTTTTTGGAGGGATTCGCGTATGAAAAGAGATTATGATGTCTTTGGTGATTTGGTAGTTCATGACACCACACATAGGACAACTAGATACAAACTTGTTTGTGCACCCAGGAATGAATCACCATACACAAAACATAATGTTTGGTGTAGGTTTTTTGTTACATGAGGATACCCCATCATTTAAATGGCTTTTTGATGAATTCTTGAAGTCTATGGGTGGGAAAGAACCCACAACCATCATGACCGATCAGTGTACTGCCATGGGTGCTGCAGTCCCTTCGATTTTCAAGAAGGCACGATATCGTCTTTGCACATGGCATATCGATGAAAATTCGAAGAACCACATTGGCTACCTTAGGAACAAATCCGATTTTATGGACTTATTCCAATTGGTTTCTGAGGCACACTGATACAGTTGCTGAGTTTGAGTATTATTGGCATTTGTAAGTTTCCTTTATTCATTGTTACTTCTTGAATTTTTATTTGAATAATGAATTTTTATATCTAGCTGATGAATGTGACGATTCATATTAATGATTATTGTTTCATCCTATGTAATACTGATAAGATAATGCATAACCCATTAAGACAATGAATAATCATATCCATTTAACGAGCGTCGCAAGCCATTCAGATGAATAAGTTATATGATTATTCAGTACAGATTTTATGATACATATTTGTTGTGATATTGTTGTATATGAGATATTTTTTTGATGAATAACTATTCACAATTTGTGTTTATGTTTTTTTTTTAACAACCAGGATGTGTGATACTTACAATTGTCACAATGATAAGTGGTTGAAAGCTATGTATGCCTCAAGAGAGAAGTGGTGCCCTGCATTTAGCAAGTCTTTTTTTTCGGGTGGTGCATTGTCGTCACAAGGGAGTGAAACAACAAACAGGTCAATTTCGCAATCCCTTACTAAGGTTTCTCGGTTATGCACTTTTTATGATAGGTTCAAAGAAGTAGTTGATGGTTGGAGGCAAAATGAGAATGATGAAGACAACCGTTGCAATAATGGTCGCGTTAACATGCGTTTCCCAAATAGTGATATGTATCGGTATGCTAGAAAATCATACACAATTCAGGCATATATTGTGTTTGAAAAAGAATTTGATGCTGCAATTCAGTGTAATCATTGGTTTATTGGTCCTTTTAACGGTCACCCTGATATAGAGCTACATCATATGAGGCGAATGCAAGTTGATGTGATGAATCACCAAGTTATTTTTAATGCTCGTTCGAATGAGATTAAATGCACATGCAGTAAGTTTTCGGATTCGGGGTTTTTGTATGCTCATTGTCTCAGAGTTTACATGTTTCGTAATGTCAATCAAGTTCCAGAATGTTACATTTTGTCAAGGTTTAGAAGGAATGCAAATATAGGGTGTATTGGTGATTCTTTGGACAGTGCATATGGTTCTAAATTTGATACCTCGGGTTCTTTCTTATGGAGGACCGACATGATTAAGAAGTTTATCAGTCTTTTATCAGCTAGTGAATCATGTGACGGTGCCAAAAAAATCATTTCAGATACCATGAAAACATTGTTTGATAATGTTCGTAAGGAGGTTGGATCTTCGCCCGAAGAAACTTAAGAGGATGCGTTTGGAAACAAGGATTCTACAAGTTCAACTGCAAATATTAAAGATCCTGAGACATTGAGGCCATTGGGGGAGCGGAATGTAAGGTGAAAGAGTGCAACTGAGATAAGATCAAGAAAAGCTAGTGCAAAACATAAGAAAGGTGCAGCTTTGAGAACGAGGAAGACTATATACAAAAGGGTGAACTCTGATAAACCTGATTTTATTGGTCGTTATGCGCACCCTCTTGTTTTTAGTGGATTTGATCAGGTTAATAGTCAAGGTAGTGAAATATAGCAGAAAAACATTTGGTTTTTATTTGATGTATTGATGTGTTTTTTGTGACATTGATGAACAATAAAAGCTGGAAGTACTGAAATAATTCTGTCTTGCTAATGTGAAGTTGTTTTATATATAGAAGTTGTTTTTGTGTTTTAAAGTTGGTTAGCGTGTTTTAAGATGGATTAAAGGTCATATTACATCAATGAGTAACGTTTAAAGTCGAGGAGAAACTGGTTCAAATTATGGGATGTTGCAATGAATATCATTATTATAATGATGAACAACAGTGGTTCAAATTATGAATAACCATATGTACACTTAACAATAAACGATTTTAAAATTTCTTTGTTCATCATCTCTATATCTTAATTCACTAATTTGTTGTTAATATTCATTATGATTTTATGGTTGTCTGTAGTCATCCTTTAGTTCAGTTCATGTTATATAGAATGTAAATATTATGAGATATGGAATGAAATGTACAATTATTCCAGGACAGATATATTTTTATGCGTTATTGATGAACAATTGGTTCTTTTTTTTTTTGATTTTGGTGTAGTGGTTTTAAACAAAATAATCCTTATGATATTTATAAACATAAAATACCAAAAGCTGTCTTATATCAAATACTGTAAACAAAAAATAACATAAAATAACAAAAGTAGTTCTACATTCACTAATCAAACTTTTTGGATTCATCAAAAGATGTCTTAAAACGAAAACCGTAAACCAAAATAACAAAAGTTGTTCCACATTCACTAATCAAACTATCTGAATTCAACAAAAGAACCACAAGAGTTTTAGGCTCTATGGGTTTCTTGCAGTGTGCAATTCTTTTATCCCTTCTGTGATGGTCATTGATTTGGTGTTGATGCCCGAGGTCAGCAACTCTGTCAGGTACTTGATTCTAAGTTTATCAAGTTTGTTTTGATGTGCATCCTTTTGTCTCTGAAAATAGAATTGACGAATAATAATTAATAAAGAATAATTTTCTTATGTGTCAAACAATATTATCAGTATTAATCGTACGTATAATTACCGTTGTTTTGCCGATTGGGGGAATTCCACAGTTGTAGCTATCAACGCCCGCTTTATAAGTCTTCATGTGGCACATCATGCATACCGCACGGTCTGTTTTATATTCACTGTTGCTCCATGGAAGATGAATAATATTTGGCTCTTTCAGTTTTCTAAGTCTATCATATGCAGTTATCGCCCTTTGTGAATCAGCGTACCTAGCTAAAGCTTCAACCTGTTCATAAACATGTAAAGCAGTACCAAGTATTCATCATTTCAAGATAGTTATTCATCAGTAAAGCATTATTTACTCATAAACATAATACATAATATTTTACCAAAAAATTATAGGTTTCCCTATATTTGGCTACAAACGGAATATTATGTTTGATAGCTGTATCCATGTTGTCCAGCACTTCCACGCGGCCGTCTAGCATGTTGAACACATAGAGGTAATAATGTTCGTTTGCAAGTACAGGGACAAACAACTGCATGTTTTGTGTTGTTAGTAAAAGTTTTAATTTGTATGAAAGATAACATTTCAACATTATATGATATTGATATTCATCCAAGAAATCATAAACTGCAATATACTTGTTGATTTGAAATCTATAACTATTTACTTTATGTACTTACTTGATAAGTATTATCAAAGTTCATTAATAACCACACATTATTCATAAGTAACTTAATGAGATTCATCAAACAAACCATAACATGGATTATACTTTTTGTTTTTGACATTATAACTATTTAGTTTATGTACTTACTTGCTTAGCATTATCAAACTGCGAATTGCTGATGTTTTGGCATTGCAGCTCATAACCAATTCTGTAAATTGCATCTTCAAAGCATTTCTCCAACAGTATCTTATTGATATTATTAGGCATTTGAGCCTGTTAATGAGCGGAGCACATTTGACATTAATGTAAAAAATCAGATGCATAACTTAAACTGATAGATGATTATTTTAAAATTATGATGAACAATCTTACCGATATAATGGATGAAAAATATATGTTGGGATATTTGGTCCTTTCTCTGGGTGCTAAATGGTTCAGGTGGGCTGCCCAAGCATCAACTATTTCATTACTTATTTGCACTCCAGGGATCATTGTTTTGATTTGATGACGTTGGATGAAATGGTATTTGACTCTGGGTTCTTTATCTTCTCCTGGCATCTCAAACAGAGTTTCTCTGCATATGATAGATGTAAGACGTAAATAAAATGTACGTGATCAACAAAGCCTATTTTTCAAAGACGCATAACAGTGAAAACATCATAGATTGGCATCGTAATAGGGTTTGTACATGTCGTTGTCATCCGCAAATGCGTAATCAGATACGAGCCTTTCAATTTCAGTGATTCCTTTGATTCCATTTCCACCATTCTGGAAAAATGGTGACTTATCAGTTATTTTAAGTTCTCCTCTTTTTTTTTCCTTTGGTCTTGCTTTTTCCCGCCGAGAATAATGTTATGTAAATAATGATTATCTAACTACAACTGTTGAATATTAGAAGTATAAAATATTAAACAGAGTAGTATACCTATCAATATACTCTTTTATCTCTTCTTCACTGACACTTTGTTGATTTGTGTTATCACCTGTACTGTCATTTACTTTTTGTGGTGTAGAGTAATTAGTTGTTGCACCTTGTATGACGCTCTCTAGGATTTCCTTCTCGACGGTATTCAATCATTCAGTCTCATTTGCTTCAGGCTGAACACTTTAGATTGGCTTGCTGTAGATTTGATCGTATGTTTAAAAATGGTGATCTCATAAAGTAATGATGCATGAACGTAAGGTACATGATGAACATAACTACAAATTTTACACGATGCATAAAATTTGATACGTGATGAACATTAAAAATTTCAGAAGATGATTAGCAATTATAAGAATACCTTCAAACTCCAACTAGGTAAGCCCAATACTCCAGTTTGGTTGTGATGAAATCACATCATCATCACCCTTCTCCTGCTGCTTATTGGCAGGTTTTGATGATTTTAATGCATCTTCTATGAAACTTTCGAACTTTTTTAAGCATTCAATCATCTCTTTACTGTTGCACCAAGTATCCAATTGGCTCTCTGTGTCAATTCCTTTCCCCAAAAAAACTGTCATTTTCTGCTGGCTGCTGTTGTCCTTCGTTTCTTTGTTCCGCATCAACATTGTCAGGAGCTTTGGCAGTTTCAACAACCATGTTGTTGATTGTCTTTGTGTAGTTGAAGAATAATCTCGCTAGCTCAGATTGACTGCTAATTCCTGTAGATTTTGCTTCTTCAAATAATCTTCCAAGTTTTAATAGCAATGGCCCCATATCATTGATCATTATGTCCTGAAACCTTTCGGCCAAATCCAGTTCCTACAATAGTTTTTGTACTTTGGTTACTAATATGTTACTCATTAAAAAAATATAATTTGTAATAAATCAATCAATGGAAATGCTATATTTGGGTACTGTGCCTTTACATTCTGCTGTTGTTCAGTTATTGGTTCAGGGTTTGATGTTGGATCTATAGGCTTTTGGTGAATAATACCACTCCCGAAACCATTTCTATTTCTCTCATGTGCTGCCCTTTTATTCACATCATCAGTCGTCCAATGAGCAATTACTGTGAATTTGCGTGATCTTCTATATTTTGAATCGGGTATGACACGATCTATGTATGTGAGCTGCAAAATGTTTTGTAAGAAATTCAAAAAGATGAATAACTAAATGTTATAAATGAATATCAATGAACAACTGAAGAATTAAATATCAGCTTGTTATTTACCAGAACAAAGACTAGTGGCCCTGTATAATGCCCTGAATTCCTTTTCCATTCCAACACCGTGAACTTAAGTGTTGTAATGATGTATTCACACCATTTCAATTCTTTAATCTGATCTACATTTATCAAGGAGTTCATCAGCTGAAAACGACAGTCCGGAGATCTTGTTCTCCAGAATATACTGGATACAACTCCGATGACGAACGATCTTTTGAACTTATCTCCATATATACGGTCTGTAAAAGTTGTCGGGTCTGGTTCCACATGTTTTTTTTTCATCCTCCCACCAACCAGATAGTTTAACAGTTTATTTGCTGGTGGACCTCCTTTGCCTATATCTAAACCAAATGTTATTCTCATTTCATCAACCAGCCTTGTGTACTCTTCACTCCCTTTTCCTTCAACGTAGTCTAGCACTTCATACCGACCTCGTGGTAAGCCCAGTACGGCCTCCACATCTGCCTCATTTATTGTCAGCTGTTGGTTTCCTTGAATTATCACCCGTGAAAATTGGGGGCTGTTTAATTACGGTGACAAAAACATAACATTAATAATAATGGTTGATTCCTTTCAACTCATGAATATACATAAACGAAGTGATGAATAATGTAATATTGTTGAGTAATATATTACTCACTCGTAGTTGTCCAGAAGGTATTTGCACAAATCTGGGTCGTCAAACCTCTCAAATTTGATATCCAGAAGGTGCCCAAACCCGATTTCTCGGACAGCTTTTTTTGTAGGTCATCCAGTTTTGCAACAAATTCGCATACAGCATGGGGTGAAACTCTAATTAGGAACGGGTTATCTTCATCTTGCCCGTTTTTCCTCTTTTTAGGCTGGTCCTTTTGTGCTGTTTTGGCTTTGGGGTACCATTCGGTCCTCTGAAAAAAAAAATATATATATAAACCCCTCAATATACGTTATATAATTTATGTCAGATTGGAAAATTATTGCATAAAGTATCACAAATAATGCATACTGATGTGTAACAGTTGAATAATGACATTGTCACTTATCCATAAAGATATATCACCTTTGTGCTTTAATACGTTTCTCAGATTCCTTTTGTGTTCGTTGTGAAACTTCTTTTTGCTGTTGTCCAAGTGTTTTGCCCGTTTGTTGGACTCTTTTCCTTTTAGGATTGCTTTTGTTACTGGTTCACGAATAACACTTGCATGATTATTTGTATCGATTTGAAAATGAGGCATAACAAATTATTACTAATGATGAATGATGAATGGTAACAAATAAGTATTACCTTTTTTCAACACCGGATAGACTCCTGTTCCGCTTAGTTCCCTGTCCCTCTATTTGTATCATTACATCCACCGATTCTGTACGTATTTCATCTCCAGATATCTTGCTTTGTTGGGGAGCTTTATCAAGTTTTGTTTTTCCGTTGCTGCATGACGGTTAGTTTCGGTAAAGCATTATATTCCAACGTTTATTGTTAGTTTGGATTTCAATGTCAATGAATGAATATGTACATCCAATGAATATATGGGATTAGATGATGAATAATATATTATCACATGATTTACGTTTTTTAAAAAATGAACAACAAATACACGATGAATAATAATGTTGACATGATGAATTTTGACACTGATATAATGAATGCTATTAGTATCTTTTAACATTTTATCAAATTAACCATAAAACGCTGAAAAAGTTAAATCATTGATGAAGTATCGTACTTAAAAAAGATGAATAATTATACAAACCTGATGAATAATGTATAAATCTCATAATCTTACAAGAATCATCACATTGTCGACGAACTATATGAGACTGACAGGAGTTTAATGATGATTAATGATATCCTTTTGATGAATAATTATATGCAAATGAGAAATACCCTCAGATCTATTAACAGTTCATCAAATCTACTAGAAAAGGCTAAACATGGCTATAAAAAGTGATGAATAAACATGTTTATTGACGAATAATGAACTGTAAACTGATGAATAATATATAAATCTATCAATCTTTACCAAAATCAACCACAAATAGATGAACAAAACTATTAAATTGATGAACAACATCAGTAATCGAATGAATTATCTTAAATTTACATAACCCATCAGATCTATTAACAGTTCAACAGCATTGTTACCTCACAAATGCATCAGAATTCGAATCAGAATAAACGATATTTGATTTCTGCATAAAAGTTTCAAATAAAAAATTAATATTCAAACCTCATAAATTAAAAAAAAAACAAAACAGATGAAAACCCGAAGAATTTAACCGTAGTTTACCCGGATTTTCATTTCTGCCGCTGAAGTTTGTTGATACCCTCTGGTTCTTTATGGTAATTTCCGCCGCTGAATTTTTGATTTTTTTTCGGATGTTTTGGTTTGAGACGGAATGGATTGAAATGAATAGGAAGTTAGGTTTGGGTAATGGCCGAAATTTAGGGGATAATGGCGGTTTTTGATTTTTGAAATAAAAAAATTTGCGGATTGCAAAGATTTTAATGCGCGCGTGTAAATCACTCAATGACATAAATTGTAAATAGTTCAACTTGCCATTATTCCGGGCACGTTTCTTACACATTAGGTACACCTTGCTACCTAGAATCTCTATATTATAATTGAATTGGTATGTGCTGTGCAAAGAAAAATTACCGACCAAAGCAAATCTAATCTAGAGTTAAAATTCACCACAATTAACTGGGTTAATAACATTGTCATCATCATTCATTCATTATGACAAGAAAATTGCCCGGTTAAAACAAAAGTAAGGAATAACGCAATTTGTGAAGTTTAAAAACCAAAAAGATCATTACTTTGACATCATTTTGCTCATGGTATCCAATGGGCAAGAAGAAACCAATCAACCAACAAGACAAAATAAGCTTGAAATGGAACGTTCCGATTTCCATAGCCAAAAAAGGCCAAATTCCACAGTCTATACAGATTCTTCCAAACTAGCAGCAACCCATGATGGATTGGGAATTTCTCCACCAACTACTGATCCAAACAAAAGAGGCCCTCTTTTAGCTCTTCATTTTTACTGCTAACCAGTCACAGTAATTTCTAATCTATCTCTCCCCAAACGGGGTGATATTAACTTTTCACCAATTGATGATGGCACACGCGGATTAACATGGACCATCAAAGTCTCTAATCTCCCAGTTTTGTACAAAAGGAGCCATATTTAGTCGATTTGCAAGATCGAGGCCTTCCCAGAAGCTTCACCAAAATATACTACTACTTACTTATTTTAATTTAAAAATATGAAAAAGGAAACAAAAAGAGGGGGTTTTCACCAAATATCTTTTACCGGCCTGGAAATCGGGCCGGCCCGAGTCCTGAACACCTCAATTAACGGGTCGTTCGCACAAGCATGGAATGGTGCTGAGCCGCCGGCGTCCATGGCGTTTCTGCACTCCTCGCAGGTAGCTCTGTAACCGTCAATTCCTCTCACGTTTTTCGTCATCGTCTCTTCGATTCTCGAGAAAGAACCATGGTCCTGATACGGGTTCAAGTAGTTCGCCCCGCCCATAGACAAATTCTGACCCAGGTAATTCCCGGGTTGCACCGTTGCCATCCGGTAATCATCCCCCTGGAGTTTGAAATCCTGGGGATGCCCGTAGCCCAGTTGGTTAACCTGCTGATTGTAAGGCTTGGGGTAGCCGTCCAGGCCGCCGCCGGTGGCAAACTCCGGCACGTTTCTCCGGAGAAGAACAACATTCTCCGGCGGTGGGGACGGCAGGAAATCGTCCTCAGAATAAAAATCCTGATAATCGACGCCGTTGAACCTCAATTTCCGGCCCCTGTACCTCCTTGACCTCTTCAAGATGACAAGGAAGAAGCAGTCTTTCTGGCGGATGATGAGTGAGAAGTTAACCTTACCGGTAATTGGAATTTTCCGGCGTTCTTCCTTGGAAGAACCGTTGTGGATGATATAGATGGAGATTTGGTTGGGGGAGATTCCGATCCCATCGGCGATCATTTTCTGGAACATCTTGAACTCCAGCATCGGCTGGACACGGATGTTCCCAATGTTGATTTCACGCTCCCCATCGAAGAACACCACCGGGAACGAAGCTCCTCCTCCGCCGTCCACCATGACGGAATCGGCCGAATGTTCTAGAGAAAATAAGTATATATATAGTACAGAAAAACACCGGAGCAGAATTGAAGAGAGAGAGAGAGAGAAAGGGGGAGAAATAGGGGTCTGAAAATCTGAGTGGAGTGGGTTTTAAATAGCAGATGAACAAATTGGGGGGGGTTTTGAGGGTAAAACGGGAAATGAAAGTTGAGGCGGTTTGGGGAGGAATTTGTGGCATACGCGATTTGTAAGGAAGATAGGGTGCGGGTTACGGGCGCGTGAGCTAAATAATCGCGATACTTTCTCTCTCTATCTCGGTTAGTTGCTTGGGTGCCAAGCAAAAATTTATGTGTCAGACTCTGACGCAACCATATAAAACTTTTTTCCCTTTTTCCCCTTCCTTTGTTACCTCAACGATGATACCTTATTTACCACGAACTATAATTACCGCATAGGAATTTTCAGAAAAGCATTTGTTTCCCTTGTTTTTTATTTAAAAAATTTAAAGAAGTAAAAAAAAAAAGTGATAATAATAAAAATTGAAAATGCTAAATCAAAGAGTAATAAATAAGCCGACATGAATTAAAGGTACAAAATCATAAATTGCGCTCTTCTTCAATGGAAGTAATATAATATGATAAGTACATTTATAAAATTTTTATCAACCATACATTATTTATTTTTTATGTTTAATTCTTTTTTATTTATTTCTCATCATTATTCAAATCAATAAATCATCATTATATAATTAATTATATGAAATGATGTGTTTTTGTTTAAGCGATAATACAATAACTAGTTTTTAAAGTTCACTTTAAAATTATTCCTTACTATAGTTCAAACGGTTTAATATCTAATGATGAATTTTTATTGATGATACGTTATTTCTTAATTCAAAGAAACGTTATTGATGATCCGTTATGATGCATTTAACAAAAAAGAACAAAATAAAAATAAATGTTCGTTATTTCTTATTCTAATGGTCTAATTTATCATTTCTCTATCTTTTAGTAACAGATTAAATGTCTGATCAAAAGACAGTGCAAAGTATTTCTTTCATTTTTCTTTGGTATCGCTATTTGTTTTGTGTTTGGTTTAAATCTTATAAAACCGTGACTATTGCACCACACATTAGCTATCCTAATGGAAATTTCAGAAATTATTAATTTTGCGAACTAAAAAATTTTAAAAGATTAAATAAATGCCACAACATTATTATGTTTCACTTTTTAGTTATTCCTCATTATAGTTCAACTCAAAAGAGAAAACAAATAATCCCACTTTTATATTTCCTCAATGCTTCTAGATTTGTATTTGCTCGTAGGGCTAATTAGCAGTATTACCTCCCTATAGTAACAAACTATTCCCTTCCAATATCTTCACTAGTTAATAATTTGATACTTTTGAAAAAATAATAATACTTCCTCCCCCTACCCAACCAATCCTATTCCTAACTTCACGCATTCAATATTATTCACAGAAATTAAAATATTGGCCAAAGAATGATGGCCTTTTGAGATACATTATGGTTGGGAACCTTATTTATTCCGTATTAACTTATCCACTTGCTATTAAAATGGAAACCGGATTAAGTCGTACTAGCTTCACTACTGTGTTGCATAACCCTTATTAAAAAGATGGAATTGAAACATTATTCTTTTTATCCTAAAAGAAAAAAATTTCTGGTGTGATGGATAAATTTACACACGAAGATGACCGGGTCAAAAAGTTGGGTGAATTTGTTAGAATGCTTTTTGTAACTACCTCCGTACACAGTATTTTTCTATTGGTTGCACTCGATCATACCAAGTGTATGAATTGGCGAATCGAATCCGAATATTTCGATTCCGGTAACAAAAGTGCTTTTTAACAAAATTCATCTCGATTCTTGCACATTCTCATACTACCTCATTCTCAAAATGTAAGTCCAGGTACAAATATTAAGAGTTATTTATCAGTAAAAATAACAAATTTATTTTAATCTTAATAACGTAATTAATAAGATGTATTCCGCCCATTTCAAAATTTAAGTCACTTTAGACTTTGCAATTAAAGAGACAATCATCTAACAATTAATTTATATTATTAAATATCTGTTTTACCCCTCTTTAATTACAATGGAATTATAAGCAAACCTAAATGAAAATAGATTGGCATCATTTATTGAAAGTAAAGTCGAGAAAATAGTCATTAATTTGACTAGAATTCGTAAATCGACCTACATTTTGAAAAATCTCCCCAAAACCTAAAATGACCTACAAATTGAAATAGAAGGAGTATTGAAAATAAAATAAGTGATTGTGTATATTAGGATAATAATGGTATATTATAGAGACAAGGATAATTTAGGCAAAATAAACAAAATTATATATTGAGATACAAGGTGGACTTATATTTTTGCATCACCCAACATAGAAATTTGATTTACATTTTTAAAAGAAAATAGTAATTCATAACAAGGGATTGATTTTAGTCAATGTCGCGCTACTGTTCTTTTTTTTTTTTTGTTGAAGATAAACTGTTTAATTTTTTTTCGGTGTGACTTGAACCCGTGACCTATTGGTCAAAAGGTGAGGTATCTTACCACTAAGCTGTAGGTGACTAAATGTTTGTTTATGTAGTTTTGTACAATAAAAAATGACAATTATCATAAATTACGTCAAATTTAGCTGCCCAAAGTTGAAAACCCTATTACCGTATCAATTCAGTGCACAAGAAAGGATACTTAATCATATATATGGTGAGGATTTGTAACTTTTCAGCGAATATTTTTATAAAAGGTAAAAAAGTTTTGTTGGGAATGTAGAAATTCATATTAAAAAAAATAGGAAAAGAATTAAATTTTACTTTAAAGATATAAAACAAATAAAATCGAAGATTCAACATCACCCAGTCCACCAGAATAGTGATCCATACTCACATAATGACCAATGTGATAATGGACCAGGTGACGTGACCAAAATATAATTACCTATCACTTTAAATAGTGAATTTTTTTTTCAAAAAAATTATAAGGAATTTTGTCAAAATATAGGTGTTATAATTGTTAAACCTCAATGTTTAGAACATGAAGACACATTTGAAGCCAACACAAAGGAAAACAGAAAAATAGATTAAGTGGGAGACTGTATATGCATCTACAAATATCCAAATGTTGCAACAAACAAAGGAAACATCATTTTCTGATATCCAGGTAGGCGGGTAACTATATTTATTTGTCTGCTGCTGTCTCACCAAGCAAATTTGGCTGCTTTCCCACAAATCAAACTTGATAATCCAGACTTTTTGAGTTCCCATATATTCCAACGATGGTTATTGATTTACAGAACCTTCGACCATAATTTTGATTTCCATAAAGAAAAACGATAAAGTTTCATAGAAGATATACATGACTGCATGCTATGTGACAATTCTGGATTCTACCTTAGACAGATACTTGTATCACATGAAATTTAGAAAATAAAAATTAAAAATCCAGAATGTTAATACCTAAGCTCATGTTCGATGTATTTGTACTGCCTTTTACTGAAAAGGACAACAGTTCAGATCCTTAACTTTGAACACAACTATGGTTTATGGATATGTCCTCATAATTGGAATGTACTTTGATATTCTTACTTTTTCAGGTGTTTGACTTGCTTTTCAGGACGATTTGGATCTGCACTAAAGAGGTCCTGAGTTCAATCAAGTATGATATCTACAAAAAGAATTTGTCCTATTAAAACCTTATTAGACAGAAACTTTTGCTGCTACTAATAAGACGGAAAAATATACCCATGATTTGGTGGATTGAGAAGTATGGCTTACTGAAAACTCAGGTGGTTTTATACACCAAGAATGAGTTCCCCCCAACATAATTGCATATCAATACTTCTCCCACTGAGGTCGGTTGAGAAAACGCCAACTCTGAACGATTGAGAATTGGTTTATCGGAGAAACTGCACCTGCATCAATTGAATTGCATAATGCTTCTATTAGACAAGGAACCAACTTATCTTCATCTCAGAAAAGCCCAAAGAATCCAACTCTGACGGAATCATGCAACTGAGGAACAATGTAACGGGCAACAAACACTGTTGACAAAAAAGACTCATAAAAACATGACTAGTGGTTATTGAAATTGATAAAGATAGTGGATCAAATGACCCTTCCTAACTACTTGGAAACTTGTTCCCACCAATCAAACTCATTCTACAATCATAATCTCAATCTTTAGACAGTTTTGATGAGAAAAGCTTTAACTACATTCAAAACAATAGAACTTAACCATATATTCACTTCACTTCTGTATATGGTTTCAACTTATATTTATGTCCTCTGTTAAAGAAAGGCTATCCTTCTAAGTCAACGTCAACCTGACATAATATATATTTCACAGCAGGAAAAAGAAAAAACAAAATGAGAGCTCCTTGTGTTTAGAAAGAAAACACGTTTCGGTTATTACCTTACAGCATCTAGCAAAGAACTTGCAATATGTTTCCTTCTATTGGAAGGGGTAACCCAAATAGCTCTTATTCCACAGCTAGCTGGTGTTGCTTCCTTCTCTGATAAGATCAATCCAGTGTTCAAATCACACTTTTTTTGAATTTCAGCTGAGTACTTCTTTCTCACTCTGTCTCTTTGGAAACTAACTTCACCAAACTGGAGAACAATTGCTTTCTCTTTCCTATCTTTGCCATTTTGAAAATGAGACACTTGCTGCAATGATCTTGAAGAAGCCTGATAAGCTTTCTGTATTGGTTCTGCAACTAGACAACCTCTGATCCTTCCAGTAGATACAAATAGATAAACCTGTCATTAAAAAAGAATGAAAACAAACAGAAGCTCCACTGAGTATAATGGAAAGCAAATTGACTGCCTTAAAAATTGCAATTCATATTTAGTATCTTGAATGAAAACCATGACTGAAAACAATCGAGTGTGTTGGATCACACAAATGACATATTTGCATGCTATACAGCCAGCTGTTGTCAGTTGATGCTGAGCTCAAATGCACATGTATAAATCTAAAAAAAGATCAGTTGACGGGGGAAAAATAATATTCTTGCGGATATGGCATAATGCAACATTACGGATGCAAGTAAATGTACAAAGTATCTATAATGAACAGAAAGTAAAATGCAGCCCGGAAACACAAGTTCCGCTTGTGCATGGTCCGTTGAAGGGACAGACCATTAAGTTCTGATATATGAAGGACTACCAAGTTAATGAGCTATAAGAAAAAAATTATGAATAATTAAGGAACTTAGTAGGTAAGAATCTTGAATACCTTGCAGTGCTGATGATAAATCCATCCATCCCCAAGTTCCTTCTCCATCATGGCTACAACTTCCTGAACCTGAAAGTATCTAGTCATTTGGTTAGTAGCCAACAAATTTTTTTAAGAGGAACTAAGCATTTTTTTTTTTTTTTGAGAAAACCACAAGTAAAAAGAAACTTGAAGTAGAGTGTTAACCTTGGCTGTATGAGCAGCAGGGTCATCACCTAAGACTAAGAGGATGCGCCCAACATTAAGTGAAGGCAAATCAACCAGTCTTTCATTTCGCCAACCCTGAAAAACAATGCATTGTCGTTTACAAAGAATCCACAATGAATCTAAACATTAAAGTCTAAGCTAGCAAAATGAACTCTAAACTCACCTTAAAATGAATGCCTTGAGTATAACTCTGATGAAATGATTTGTGAACCTTCTCATCGACCTCATCCCCTTTGGAGTACTCAAACCCACACATTTTGCAAGTATGCAATAGAAAATCAGATTGACCTAATTCCAAGTGAAACTGAGCATAATTTCGTTTCTTGTTAAGAACTATCTGAGGCTTCCTCAGCTCCAAATCTGATACCACCACACCATTTTTCTCTTCTATATTTGCTGATTCCCCCAATTTTTCATCACCCTGCCTGCATTTCAGACCCAAAATTATAAATCTAGAAACCGAAGAAAGTAAACAGAACACTTGGACAGCGAATGCGTCTAGACAAACAAGCAACTATAATTCGGAAAAGTTACAATACGGATTTCCCATTTTTCATTCCAGAAATCGCTAATTTTAGAATAGCTAAGCTTTAAAACATCATGTAAATAACGTCAAAACAAGGTTTCATGAAGTTTCTAATGCAATTAGTCGACGAAGATGGAACTCTAATAAAAAAATAAATAAAAAAAAAACTCAAAATTCTCAAACGCAGAAATTCAATTACCTCTCCAGGATTTTAGTTCTACGCGTGTAGGTGACGGAGATTTCTGGATCTTCACATCCGCCGGCGGCCACGATGGAGATTGTATTTTCGGAACCAGGAAACGTGGCTGTCGTTTTGAGGGAAGTAGGAGGAGCAGAGGGTTTGAAGAAGGCGCTAATTTTCCTTTGCATTGTCTCACTTCTTCCCTTCGTCTACACCGGCGGGGGGTAAGTGATTTGTTGGTTCGTGGCGCAGAGTGGCCTTAGTTGAAAAATTCAAAATTCCGGGAGGTTCTTCTTTTCGAAAGTTAAATTTTTCGCAGCTGAAATTTTCCCGCCACATCTCCCTGAGAAAAATTCTGAGCTGCTGGGCTTTTATGCTCGTGGGAAAACAATCTAGCCCAGGCCCAGATAAAAAGGAACCGTGTTTCTTTTGCCGGTGATAATCGAGCGTTTAGCGTTTTGGTTTTGTACTCCCTCCGTTCGGTTCTCGTGGGTTTTTAAATGGAATTTAAGAGAAATAAATAAAAATATAAAAATATGATAAATAAAACTTCCGGAGTACTGGCTCATAATTTTTTATGGTATTGGCAAATGGAGCAACAACCAATATTTTAAATCCCTTTTGATGCGAGAACGACTGGTAAAATGCATAGGTGTTCTATATAAATGTTCAATAACGTAACTTAAAAGAGGTCTGCCCAATGTGAGTTCCAAATTCCGCTACTCAAATACGAAGGACGAAACGTTTGGCCTCATCAAAGTTGCTCCTAAAAAAAACAAAAAGGACAAAAAAAAAAAAAAAGAGCCGAAGTTAGAACAAATGGAGATTGTGTGTGCTTGAAGATTAAAAAAAATTCCATGAGATCATGGCTTTAAATTCAAAGAGGTATGATGTATTCTGCTAAATAATGTTCAGACATTTCCAAATCGAACTCTTTCCCCCTAAAAGAACAAAGAAGAATACAAATTGTAACAAAGTAGGGAAAATGTATCAACTTCCCCGAAAGCCAATCCAATATTAAAACATAGATTTAACAACGAAAAAAGGAAGATATTGACCAGAAATTCACTAAACAAGTTATAAAGTAGAGCATTTCGGCATCCTTTCTTCTCTCACTTTCTACAAAATTAGATGCAGATGCTAAAGTGTCGAGCTTTAGGACGTGTCCATCTACGAAAACTGATCGAACCAAGAACTGTAGATTACTTGCATATGGTTCCTCTGCTTTCCACAGCACCACAAAGAATTCCTAAACGAAACTCAACATTTACCCGTCAAACTCGGGGACCTGTAAGCCATACAACGAAAACAAATTCAAAGACAGATTTAGATTGCAGAAAATCTCATATTTGTAACCTGACATAATAGATGCAAGGAAAAACCTTCCATTTCACAAATTCATACCCCTCGGAACCCGGCACAAGGAACTAGAATTCACAAGATCCAGCTAACATATTTGTTCACCAACATAAAAATAAGAGAGTTAAATTGTTTACAAGATGCAGCAATGCACCAACACTTACAGTGTGTCCCAAGTTCAGCTGCCTCCTTTCTGCTTGAGAGTAATCTTGTCCCCGAGGCTGAGAGCGATTCCTTGAGTCTTGCTCCTTATTCTAATATAACCACTCAACTTTCCATCTGACTGCTTCTCAATGCTAACATTTACTAATGCATCTTCCCCAAAGACACTCTTTGCATAAAGGTTAGCAGCCAAGAAACCGCATTCGCCTTCCAAAGCAGAACTGAAAAGAAGCATCCAAAAAATCGAATCAATGTAGTAATATCACACTCTGGAACTGCACTATTATACTTCTTACAACACGCTAAAATTCTGAATACTTCATGGCAGTAGGATATATAGCCATAATATTCGTCATGGAAGACAGGTTGAAGTGAATGACAATGAAATCCATCGAAGTATGTTAACAAAAGATAAGTATAACATGATGCCAAAGCTTGTACGACATCAGAACCGAATCCAACTCCAGATCATCATAGTAAATCTTACACAAGCTCTCACATGCAACAATCTACAGTCCATATAGTTTCACCTAAGGATTAAACAATTGCAATCAAACAGAAGTACACAAGAGCTTACTGTGCAGTCAGGCACTTCATGTTGGTGGACCTAATAACATGGTCCAGGAATTCCTTCTCATCTTCAATTACAGTGTTTACCGCAACCTGTAAATAACAAAGGAAAAGCAGAGAGTAAGGACTAAGGAAGATCTGATGAGAAAAGGGTAAAGAAAACATGATACAACAAGTAAGCCTATAATTAGCAGATGGCCAGAGACGGTGACCAAGAGAGATGGATCTCTTAGCAAAACAGGAATTCACAAATAGTTCATTTTTATGCAAAACACGAAAGGATGTAATGGAAAAAAAGATTAATCAAATATGTCAATTAGTTTTTATAATAGAGGCATTTAATCAGTTTCATTCCATTTACTAAACACTGAAATTCCATGCAATCCATGTTTACAGAGGAGCAAACTATAAAAAAATTGTTGACATGATAATAAAAAGTGAATAGAAACTAAAGTACCTTATTTTCCCATTCAAATTCTGCCCACATCGTTCTAAATGCAGCATCACTGCAAACTGCAGGAGAGATGTAGTCCATGATGTCAATATGAATGTCATTGAGAACCACCACAGTGCGCTCAAGCACATTTGAGGTCTCATAAACTATGTTCCCAAATATGACCCCCGTCTCGGTGGACGAAACCTTGATATTAGCTTTAATTTGCTTGCTTGATTCAGGAGCCAAAGTGTAATTCTGTGGTCGCTCAACAAGTTTAAGATCACCCATTGTTGCCAGCTCCAGGCACAAATTCTGAAGAGTTTCCTTGGTTCTATTGATGACTGTGACATCCAGGACAATATCATAGTGGTGAACTGTTACATAAGCCTCAGCATAAACAGGATCACTAAAACCAGTTAGCTGAAGAATCCGGTTAAGTTTATTTGCATCATCTCCATCCTTGCTGAATTCCCCAGTTGCACGTTTTAGGTCATCTTGGACCTCATCTTCCAACTCCAACTGGCTCATACCCTGAAATATGGTCAACGATGTCAATATTAGTGGGGGAAAGAAAGAGCAAATATAACGAGCCAAGCCATGAAACAGATTCTACAGTATAGCAGAATTTCAAATGTGCCTTCACAACAATGAAAGACAACAGTTTGCTTTCACTGACACACAGAAAAGGATTCCAGTCATTGAAGCCACACCCAAAAAAAAAAAAAAAGAAAGAAGAAAGCACCAGAGTCCAACACAATCGGTTTGGAAATGAGCAAATTCTTACCCTTCTATTCTTCAAGTGGTAGAAATCAATAAGATCATCAGGCTGCGAATGTGAAACCTGAGCCTTTGCTTTAATTTCCTCTGTTTCACGAAGCTGTTTATCTGAAAGCATCTTAACGAAGCTCTCACGACAAGACTTCAACCAGATCTTCCTGATATCATCCCCAGTATTACACAAAAGTCTTATGCAAAGAACTATTCTATCATATGAATCATTATCAATAGGATGAGGAAGAGCTGACGACTGCCCTAGCTGCAGCATTGAGACCAAGATCAACAACACACTTGAAGATGCCTTATTGACTTCGGATTTAGATGACTGGACCTCTTCCAGCCTCAAAACCAGCTTTGTCAATGTGCAGGCAATTACTGCTCCAAGGAAAAAATCTCCAGTGAGAATGAGGGATCTCAGGTTTCCAGTAGTCAATGATCCTTGAACAACAGTTGGAGGAGAGAAAGCAGTCTCAGAGGCAGCACTTTGAGTAGCATATGTTCCATCTGCAAGGATAGCTGGCCTTCGAGATGACACAGTAATAGAAGTCACCTGCTGAGACTTCTTTGAGGAATCAGTACCTTCTTCTTCAGACACAGAAAAAAAGGGTAGGTCACCAAGACACTGCTTAATGGTTGCTAAGCCACTTTCAACTTCAGAAAGAGACAAGCAATACTCTCCGATAATCCAAAGAGCACAAGAACACACACGAGCGGCTCTTATCTGGTAAAAAGTGTCAAGGAGCCTGGTAACAATCGAAACCCTCAACTTTGGGTTGGTTTCAATAATTTCACGCACAAAAACAACCACGTCCATCGCAGATGCCACATTGCTGTCTCCCAAGAAATCCATCAACAGATGAACCACAGTGCTCGCTACTTCTGGGAATTTTATTGCGCAAGAATGAATGGCTTGAATTAGCATTTGGCGGTATTCACCATTCTTCTCCAGCTCCCCACTTTGAGTTTTCACTACCTCCTTCTTTAGTGTGAGAACAACCTCATTCACATTTCGGGGAGTTATCAAGTCAAGAACTATATCAAGAGTCTTCCTGCGAATGTCAAGATTTGGGCTAGAGAGTGCCCTAAGGACATCCATGATCAAATCAACCATTATCTCCCTGTGAGATGCCTTGAGTTCACTCAAACGATCAAGAACAATAAGCTTCACATTGTTGTCACTCTGAGAAAGAAGAAGCTGGCAATAGGTATTGGCAGCAGCTCTGATAGCTGTCGGAGCAGAAGACAAAGAAACCAGAGTTCCAGCACATTCATAAATGACAGCAGCAGAAGGGGCATTAAGCAGAGAGATGATGATTTTAATATATTTTCCCTTCTCAGCCTTGTTTGTTCGGCAAACTTTCCTGATCAACTCCAGAACAACCATTTGAAACAAATCTCCCCAGTCAGGAACTCTGTCAACATGGGTCAAGAGGTAATTGATTGCACGGTCTTGAGCACAATTGAAAAGCATCAGAAAAGCATTCCTCTTAGCTGATTGGTCCTGTTCACTCAAAAGGAGCTTCTCAATCATCTCCGGAGCATCTGCCAAGAGCTGCTCGCCTTGCGGGAGCTTATAAATCGCCATCACAGCAAGAATTGCATTCCTCCGGATGAAGGGATGTCGGTGTTCCAAGTTTGCAAGAACAGAAGGGATCAGAGGCTCAATGATCTCCACCTCATTCAAACGGCAGAGAAACCTCAGGGTTACACCACGAATGTACTCATTAGCGTGTATCAAATTATTCCTTAGATTCTGGCAGATCAAGATCATTTCTGGTAGAACTCGACCTTTGGAATCAGTTTTGTCGATTATCTCTAAATAGAGAAGCAACAATTTCTGAACAGTGTGGTCTTCTGAGGGCAAGACATATCGGACTACAGTAATAAATAACTGAGGAAGAGTCTCTCCGTTCAATAAAAGCATGATAGCTTTCTTCATAGCATCAACCTTTGCAGGGACATCATTCCCTTCAAGGGCTTCCTTGATCTCATTTGCAAGGGCTGGCGTACCCTTGTCAAAATGGATCAACAAAGTACAAGATTTCTCCATTTCTTAGAGGGCTTTACCTGACAAACACCAAAAGATATTTACGGTTATTTTAATGCCATGGATCCAGAATATCATCATCAAGATTATCACTAATGGTCTAAATGAATTTTCCGAATCAACAAATGCTCTACACTAAAGCCCTACCCAATGCATTACAATTTCTTCTAACAAAGTTGAGAAGATAAGAGGTAGATCAATTTGATCACAGGCGTAGGCATCACTAAACATATAAACAATACTATTAGAGTAACTGCATCTCCACGTGATTGAACGACTTATCCGTAGACTTGGATCGGAGGAGGACGGCTAACCAAAAAACACCACAACACAGCTGACGTAATAAGATTGAAACTGATAGAAGGGGAGAATCAATAAATCAAAACAAATTTTTCACCCAAATGCACCGTAACGATGTTCACAACACAATCACGGAATAATACAAAGAGCAGTGAAATTCAGTAACCCTACTACACAACCCAATTGACCAAAGATAGCACAAACTAGCACAACAATCACAATCCAAATCGATATAAACCAAACAACAGAAAACGAACAAAGACAAAGGGAATCACAATGAGGAAAACGCAGATCTTGTGGATCGGAATATAATCGGATATGAATCACCAGAAGACGCGTACCAGATGAAAAAAGGGACGCCACCGTAGGATCAGACGAGATAGAGAGGGAAGAAGAATTGGGCGGGGGGCTCAACTCAGATCTGCAATCCTTAGGCGCATCAGATCTGCAATGCGTAGGGAAGGCAGAGTGAAGTTTTATTGTTACACTGCTAAAGAACTACTAGTCATCTTTTTTTTCTTAGATTGGGGCCAGTTTATATGTAAACAAAAATCGTTAACAGCTTAGAATAACCTGTTTTAATAAATAGTCAAATCAATGCTCCAAGTAGTATTATTTTACGGTGGAATTTTACTGAATTCACAGTAATTAAGGAGTACGTAATAAGCCAAGATCTGACTGTCTAGTATTACGTACAAAGCTTACTGTAGTCTCCTTCATTAGTGATGATCAACTACATCCTAATCAGATAAAATTTCGACTTCAAAAAATATTCTCTTTACCTGTTTATATAAACACAAAGGGAAAAAAAAATCTCATTGATGTTGCTTTCGGCCGTTGTGGTGGTGCCATTACAAATATTAAAATTTAAATGATTTTATATCCACAGATCATTTGTACGGCTTTTATTATTTTTTGTTTTTCCCGTTCAAGAATAGTGTCATTTGTACGGCTTTTATGCGTTCAAGAATAGTGCTACCATAGCCGTTGCTAGGTAATATGATATGATTTCTTATATGGTTAGTCAACTTAGAATTTTTGTATGATTTTAGTTCTGTTTGAATTGAATTGATTAATTGGGTTTTTATCACAAAGTGTGATTTTTTTAATTTCTTTTTTATGTTTTATTCATTTAGAATGGTTTTCCTTTTTTTTTAATTATGGAGTCTCAGTTTTTTTTCGTATATGGTCAGTTATGAATTGTGTTTTTTCTTTGTTTAATTGCTTCTAATTTTGTTTCATACTCTCAGTTGACCAATTATTATTATTGTTATTATTATTATTATTATTATTATTATTATTATTTTATTTTATTTTTTTTTGCAAATGAAGCGGGTTTTTTTTTTCTGTTCGGACTTTCAAGAATATACTTTTTTGGATTTGGTTTTTGGACTTTTTTAAATTACTCATCATATAAATGGTTCAGGTCGTTTCTTTTAACTAATTTATGGGGAAGCCTTTTATGAATTTGAGGTGGAGAGGGAAGGAATGATGTTTCTACATTTATTTGTGTTTTATACATCATTTTCATCTACATGAAAAAAAAAAATTCTCAATTTTTAATGGACTCTTTTACTTATTTTTTTTTATTTGCCATGGTGGAGATGAGTTCTTTTTTGCTATAACTTGAAACCTATGCAAATTTACATTAATTTTTATTGTCATATTTGTGATTAACCAATTTCAACAATTAATCAGTTTTTAAATCATATTTTTGATATTTTACTAGCTATAAGTCTTTAGAAGACAGTTCCAACAATTAAACGTATACCCTTCGGAGGAAATTTACTACAAAGCTATTATAAATCTCCAAAACCAAGTATTGATTTGGCACAACAAATGGAGAACATCAATAAATCATTTACTAATATTTAAACTTATTAGGATACTTTTATATTTTGTCTAACATTTACTTCAACAGATATACTTAATCAAGTTTATTTATATTTAATAAGTAACACTTATAAAATATTTATAAAATATTCAAACATTTCTAAAATGTACCGGACCAAATACACTTTCTTTTTTTTGTCAAATACAAACATTTCTATGATCACACTTATAAAACATTTCTAAATTCTTCAAACATTTCTAAAATATATCGGGCCAAATGCAAAATATTTTTTTTAAATACAAACATTTCTAAGATCTACAGATATATAGGGTCAGAGTCGCACATTGCGCGACCAGATATCACTAGTATATATATATATATATATATTTAATCCTAAACACATTATTAGCAATTTAGCATATAAAAAATGGGATTTTTAATTTGGACTGTACAGAGGAAAAAGTTGCTATCCAAGTTAAAAACGAGTTTTTTTCTTAAGTAACCTCATCAATCAAATTATTTCCACGAGTAACCTAAATTGAAAAGAAATTCTTTGTCTAATATTTCAACCTAAATTAAAGATCTTTTTATCTGGTTGTTTTTTGCTTGGCCATCGGAGCTGCTAACTAATTATCCCCTCCGCCAATTTCTAGTGGGCATCACTCTGGTGGTTGTCAATCCGGACGACATTAAATCCTTGAAAGCGATATTTAGTTCGGAAGATTTTGGGATCTTTTATACCCATTTTATTTCTAATTATTCTTAGTTTTTCATTCTCAATTTTCATTGTCTTTTATTGATAAGAACCTTTTGAGAAGTCTTGGCGATAATAATTTTTGGGCAAAGAAGACTTAATTTTGGATTTCCCCCGGATGGTAACTCGAAAATTGTGTTTTCGTAATAGAGTAAAACTCTGAACGCGATAATGACCATTATCAATATCTTTTACTTCATTCTCTAGTAACTAGTTAGTTTCGTGGGGGCAAGAATCAATTTATAAAGAATGTAAAATTAACTTTGTATACTTAATCAATCTTACTTACACTTATTCTTCTACGGTCTAACGCAAAAATATTTTATTTTTAATTATTTTCATGAACATTTATTACTACTATGTTTGCTTGTTCTTACAGAGAAATTATGAGACAACTAGTGTGTGTTTTGGGTGTTGTAACAAAAGTCTATGTTACTTACACTTACTATATTCTTTTGTTATAGTTGTAGAATATATATCGTTGCTCCAAGAGAAATTAATGAACGAAAACGGTAGTGACAACGTTTTAATTTTCAATTAATGCAAATGTTGAAAAAAAAAGATAAAGAATTGAAAAACATGTCCCAGGATAACGGAGATAAATATTTGAAATCTTGAAAAAACGGAAAAACATTGGAAGCATGGGATAATAGAGAAAAGGGGAGAGGGGATGTTAATCCTAACATTAAAACACTTCTTTTTTTCTTTTTTTTTTTGGCTGTAATTAAAATGTATGATATGGCACAACTAAAATCATTGATGGAATATGATTTATATTTATGTTACTAGTGGAAATAGTTTTACAGATGAGGTTAATTGAGGAAAAAACTCAGTTAAAAACCCCAAGACAGAATTAAAGAAAAAGAAAATCTTCAACCCAAAATTTCATGGGATATCATTAATTCTTTCTGCTGTTAGGTGATCACAAATCAATCAAATGCAAGAAGAATAAGCGTCGCCATCAAGTTGTTCGGATTGCTTTTTTTTTTTTTTTTTTGTATAAAATCTAAAAATCATATTTAAAATACAAGGAGAGTTTGGTAAGATCCACCCTCAATAAAGAATGATTTATATATCCAAAGATTTTTCAAATTGAAATAAATGGGTACATTGCCAGAATTACTCCAAAGTTCAAACCAAATTGCATCATCAGTTGCTTTTCTTTTTTTTTTTCTAAATTGTCTTCTATTTATTCTGTTTTTTTTTTTTTGGCATTTTACTTAACCGATTGAGAGAAAATGTTGCTCTAACGAAAAAAAAAAAGGAAAAGAAAAGAAAAGCCACTAAAAAATACTTGTCACAACCACCGCTATTACACTATATCCTGCAGTGCTTCGGAAGATCAAATTTCCCATTTCAGCCTAAAATGACATACATAGAATTTTCCCAGCCGACACTGCTTGGTTCCTCTATATTACTCCAAACTAAACAAATAACAAGAGAAGTCACTTCATCTCGCATCGAAAAGATAAAATAATTCAACAAAGTGATTTTCTTTTAGAAGAAGAGGAATGACATTAACTATACCAAAGATTAACACTTAATAGTTCCACCATCACCCAACTTTACAGGCATACCTAGCTTTTCCTCCCGTATCATCCCCAAAAGGAAAAAGCAGAAGTACGATGTATAGTCGCAGGCAAAACTAAAACTGTCATTCTTATATTAACAAAAAACCATGCTATCAAAATTTTTGCCAATCACATACACTTTCCAAAGTCCACATCATGGCCACTTGCGGATACCCATTTAAAAAGTTTGCCCCAGCATTCAGCAACCAGGCCCGATTATAGGAGATGAATGGGAACAAGAATGCTTTCACACCTCCAAAGATGCTCTCCACATCTTAAACAGAATCACACATGATGCTGATGCAAACTTACTGAATGCAGCAAAACAACTGAACTAGATCAGCTCAATTTGCAGAGTTAAGTCATCTGAGAGCAAGATTATAGCGTCCCAAAAGAACCACGAAGGATATAAATCAGAAACCGAGAAGGTACCTGAAGCGTATGAAATAGGCCTGCAGGGTGATCTTGTGATGTCTTCTATTAAAGTATAAAAGGGGAAACCATCCACTTTCTTTTACACCATCACTAAAGCCATTCGACAATCATCTACTGATAATCGATCTTAGTTGATCGCAACCCCTTTTCAGTTTATGCCGTTCTTCTATTGGCAAGTAAATATCCTCTGACTGCAATTTCACAAACCGGTAATCAATGTCCAGCATCAAATTCTCAAAACCAAAAAAAAAAGAAAAAAAGAAAAAAACAATTTCTAAACAAATAAAGGGTTCAAAGTACATCAAATTAAAATGCATCCTGTCCTGACTATTCCATAATATACCTGATTTTATTATGAATATTCGGTAATAGTTCGCGAATACCATACACCATAATCGAATGGTTAGAGCATGATACAATAACTTACAGGATCTTTGTGGAGGAAAAACTAAAAATCATCAATGATATTTGTCGTGGACTATATGAAGTACAAAGAATCTACTGGAAATACACTATTAATCACATTAACAATTTTCCTCCAGAGAAACTAATCTGAAATTTGAATAAAATACCTTGATGACTGCCTGGTTATTTCACAACACTAAAAACCATTGTATTCCAACTTTACAAAAGGTTATAAAAATCAGCAAACCTTTAACACAAGTTTAAGACAATTCAGAAATACGTTAAAGATATATGGTTGTTGTATCCCCAGACCATGAACAAGTTAACAAAAAGAGCAAGTGCCAGCGCTATACGGAGGTCCTTTGACACTTTGGAACTCCCTTAATGTCCCTAGTGAAACACCTATTCTGCAGTTATTAAAAGTGATAGAGATGTTGAACTCCCCTATCAAGAAGAACCATGCTGGGCTTATTTGAACAAAATAAGAAGCCTCAACGCGTTCCATACGTTTTAAATTGTTGTCTAAAAGTATTAAGCAAAAAATTTCTCAGAAAAAATGGTGCAAATATGATCTTGGCTTACCATAAGCACGAGCACCCTCTGCAGAATCTCCTCAATCAGTGACTTTTGTGGCCAAAGATTTTTCTGCATCTTAACATCTTCAAGCATTAGTAGTAGCACAGAAACAACTGCATTCCAGTTAGCTCCATTGGTTTTATAAGAAGCCTGACGTGGATGATGCGGCAATAAGCTTTTATCTACCATTGATCTCATTGAAATTAAGAATTGATTCAGCAATGTTGAACTCCTATCAAACAAGAAAAAGGAGGGGAGGAGGTAGTAGAGGCTGTCACTCCTGCTAACTGTGGCTCCAGAATCATCATGTTGCATGCTCTGCGTCATTGTGCCATGGCATCAAAGAAGTGACAAAAACTCAAGCAACAAATAGAAGTAAGATAAGAATAGTAGAAGAGCTAAAAGATATCTTTACAGAACATTAACATTTAAGTTTCTCTTGTTTGTAGCTTAGGCTTTCAATCAGAAAAGTGAAGCACGCAAAGCCATATCCACAAATTAAAGTAAATAACAAAACCACCCATTATAATGCAGAAACTTGATATTCGAATAACATTATTTGTAATGCAGAAACATGATATGGCATTTGCCAGAACCTTACTATAGTCAAAGGTTAATGGTCTCTCGAGGTATGACAGTCAGCTGAATATGCTAGTCGGCTCATTTTACTTCACAAAAGCACATAGAAAAAGGCCTTGAATACTTGTGGTAATCAAAGATGATTTCTGCTAAACTACCGTTACCCAGTACACAATAACATTGTCAACATGTAAATTTAAAGGTATTCAGGTGGTAAGAATGATTACAAGAAAAGTCACATGTTCACAAATGCCTTATATTGGATCAAAATCAAAAACATATTCCAGAAAGTAACCACGTGCTTCAAAAATTAGATAAAGCAGTCATACTTGGAAAATCCATTTGGAGATAAAATTACAACAGAAATAAGCAGATATTGGCAAGAAAAAGTCAATAACTTGGAAGCATTAACCATAAACAAAGAATATAATAACAGTAATCAGACAAATCACTTACAATTGCAATCTTTGACAAGTAGCCCAGGAGAACATCACTTAATCTGATGATACTCTGTTCGCATAGTATTGTAGGCTTGCAGTCCAGAGTAACGAGCACCCTCAAAAATGCACAGATGTTGTCCAACGGCAATTTGAGCGACTGAAACAGATAGATTTTACGGAAATCACTACCAGGATAAAAACGTTCATAAGGTCAAGAAAGATCATGCAAATCACAAATAGATAGCAGGTTACAGGAAGCTCACCATCTGATCAACAACTGGTTTCTCCAAAATTTGGAGAACAAGATGACCATCCCCAATTTGAGATAAGTAGGAGCAGATCACCCTGGTAATCGATCGAAAAGTTGACCGCCTTAAGATTACTTCCTCTGTGGCTGAGAGGCAATCTTCTGAGAAAGAACCATCCAGGTTGAGCAAAGAAGACATTGCAAAAATTGGGATGATATTGGAAGACAAACCATCAGTTTATCAATGATTTTAAAGGGTCAAGCAATTATATTCTTCACAAAACAACAATTATACTATGTCCATTAGCAAGACTCTGGTAATAAGTTCTGAATAGCACAGGCAACTGAACACTCATAGAAGTTCAAAATCCACAACAATGGTCAACAAAAAATTGGCAAAATGCATGCCATATGCTTAGAAGCAACAATGTTATTCAAAGAAATCAAAGACCCAGACACTGAACAATACAACAGGGAATGCTATGTCTTAAAATTACTAGTTCAGAGAAAATATTGCCATGTTCAATTGAAAAGATACCGGGAGAGACTTTGAAGCGCGAAAGTAAGGTGATGAGGAAACTAATGTAATCGCCATTTGAAATATTTCCTGCTTTATATGCTAAGTGCAGAACCTCTATGATCCGAAGAAGTAAGACTGGGTCCAGATCTTCACCTGCAATTATGAGCAACATTGGTCAAACAGAGAGTGACAAAACAAGGCAAAGTGTTGAAATTGAAACATCAATTTTCATCTTTGTCACTAAGTGCTCCCTAGACCTTTCTTTCTTTCTTGTTATCTTACTTACCATACTTTCAGGCTATTAAGGACATTAGAAAAATACATAAAATTTAATGTGTCACTCAATGAAGGTAGTTATTTGCTCATAAGCTTCCCAATAAATGCACAATTACTTTGTACTTACACAAGCAACAGGTCACCATTGATTGGAGCAGGGGGTAGTCCACAAAAGAGAAGTAATACACACAAGAAAGAGAAAGTTCCTGAGTATCCCGGCTCAGCTTCATAAAAGGACCATAGGACGTGCTTGCTGCTAAAGAGGGGAAAAAAAGATTGTAAGGGGCAGTTATAATCGAAAATAGAAGACAACCCAAAAAGGAAAACAAGCTCTTCAATCCTTACTTTCGTCCAGGCAATTACTGTAAAATTCAGCAAGTGCATATTGTACTTGATCATACACTTGACTCACGGAATTGTTCATTATGGCAGCTTTCCCTATAAGAAGCAGGAGACATAGAACTGCCTGCAAAAATGTTAATTGCAAAACGATAAAGTGTATGATCATGTGGCAAAATGATAACTTACATTAAATAAAAACTGTAATCAGGATGGCAAGTGGCAACACGATAAAGTTATTATTTAAGTATGCGCCGCAGACAAGCAATAAGTACCTTTGAACGAGAAGTGTTTCTATCCCCAAGGAGTAACAGCAGTTGAGGAAGCTCTCTAATCCACGTGAGGTGATAGTCTAACATTTCAGGATCCGTTGAAACCAAGAAGAACCCGCCCTTCTCCTACAAAGGGAAATGGAAAAGAAGTATGTTTCCAGCGTCCTACATTGCTTCAAATCAAAATTAAGGAAACAGAAATTCCCTCTTTTTTTTTTCTTTTTTTTCTTTTTTCTTTTTGAATGCTATAAAATGATATGGACGAAACTATCTTCCACAGTTATATTTCACATGAAAATGATTTTGTATGTGCGCTTGTTCCATCGATGCCTAGAACCTGTGCTAAATCAAAGTGGTGAATTTGGTTTCTCTCCCTTCTAAGGCAGGAGCGAATTTCTACATTAGGGTTTCCTAATATGAGTTTGTATGTAGTGCCTTATGAAAGAAATTCCCTCTTTTTAATAATATTTACTTTTCAAAGAAGAAGATAAAGAATCATAAAAACCAAAACTCCAATCCTGAAGGGGAAAAAAATAGGCGGTCACAGTGAAAAATCAATTTAAGAAACCAGAGGTTTTAATAGATAAAATGTAAAATGTATGGATGAGCAATCTAAAATGATTCCGGCGGGTCTCAAATTGATGTTTCTTGGAAAAGGGAAACACCATACTGGATTTAGCATTTCTTCCAATGCAGAAAGGCAAGTGGATTTCATATCAGACTCCGCACCACAGCTTCTGAAGATGTCAGTAAATGCCTGCAGTCACAAATTAGATTGTTAAATAAATATCCTAATTTTTCATGAGATCCATTTCCAAACTATCAAAGAAACATCACTTCAAAACCAACACCTACGAATGCTTAGTACACAACTTATGATTAAAACTAAAGAGGCAGCAAGAGAGTGGATCTTCTTCGTCACACTAAACATGAGCAGAGAGAATCAACGAACCTGAAGCAAACGATGTCTCCATCCACCAGGAACTTGCATAATAAGATTGGGAATGAAAGGAACAATAGGAAGTAAATGCTTCTCGAGGTACACTTTACCAGATCGACTGCAACTGTAAGACTGCAAGAGTGAATGCATAACAAAAACATAACAAAGAGTCATATATCAAAGAAACAAAGGACAGAGTTTAAAAGCGTTTGAAGTTGCATTTGACGAACGAAACAAACTAGCACAAACATATGGGTAAGCCTAGAAGCTCTGTATGCATACAATAACTGAAATAGATTGTTAAAAAGACATAATAAAATCACTTGAATTAAAAGAACATGATACATTAATCACTTGACAATCAATAAATATTCATGCGAATCAAGAGTGCCTAACAGATGAACTGCCCAGGAGCTTCAGGCATATATTCATAACTCAATACAGTCTATATAACAGCCAACACCTTCATTCACTATTTCTGCCGAGCATTCTGATTATTAGACAAGTAGCTAATATCCAATTATATAACATGAATCACCGAGCATGCGATTCACATGACTTAAGTATACTAACATACTGAAGATTTATCGGCTATAATTGAGATCTCATATAGACAATATCCTAGATGATTAAACAGTGACAAACCTTTTGGGATAGAGAACTCTCAATGAATTCTAGAAAGTTCTCAAATAAGGCAGGAGGAAGCGAAGTCCAATCTTTTAACTGTAAAAATATCTCTGTTATTATGCAATTTAAGATGGAATACCGATCATCTTCCTGCAGAAAAGAAGTAGGATAGTTATTGTAATCGAAAGTAGAAACATCGATGATAGACGCTACCAGGGATAATGAACCAGTGAAACATGAGAAAAAAATGTAGGAAACAGAAATATCACCTTCTCTAAATGGGTGTGAGCTGAATTTAGTGGGAACAAATTCCATATCTTTTTGAAGATTGCAGGTGATACAATTTGAGCCAACATAACTGCATTACGTTCACCTCCAGAAATTGGCAGAATACCATCCCCACCTTGTTCAGGTTTCCCATTTTCATAAACAAAGAACTCTACCATGTAATTTATGCTTTGAAGAATAAATAGCATGCAATCATATGATTGGGTATCCAGTTGAGGCATGGTATGATTTGAAGGAATAAAATCCTCGAAACAGCTAACTAGAATGGGGAGAAGATTCTTCAATTTCTCAATAGTGCCTGAAAGATCTGTAAAGAAACATAACAATGGGTAGGTCGTTAAATGATCCAGCTTACCCACTCAGTTAAAAGTCAAAATGAGATCTCTTGTTTATGTACATTACAATTGTGTAAATATAGGTTCTTAATGAAAGAATTGGATCCCAAAGTTCATTGGTTTCATCCTAAAGTTGCCTAAAACCTTCAGATTTTATATTTTAATATTCAATTTGATCAAATGGTACTAAATACTGAAAGTTGCTTCAACTGGATTATATATTGAATGGGAATAAAAAACAAATTTAAGTAGCATGGATTCAGCAAAGTATTTAGATGCATAAATTTATCAAAGTATGAAAAGTAAGAAGGGATTTTCTTTAGATATAAGTCATGGCTTATCATAAAAATTCCTGGAATGTTTTTAAACTTTTGTACTTCACCGACAATCTCTAAGGAATGTCTATCTTGAAAAGTTCTAACAATCTAGTATCATATGCTTGACCATCATGATCGACTATAAGCATGCTCTTGTAGATACCTACATGCTACCTGCTATGAAAGCTAACAACAAACACCATAAGACATCAGCCTCACAAGTATTAGAAGAAGAAAAAGACAGCCTTTACCAGAGATGCTTAATTTTCCAAACAGTGATGCGGAGTCTTCGGCTATCTAACATCCTAGCCTGACTTTTGCCCCCAATTAAAAAAGAAAAATATACATCAAAACACATTTTAAGTTACTTACCAGAAGAGTCTACATTCTCATCAGGCTCAAATGCATGCAAAATCCCTCTAGAAGGAACTTCCTGCAACAGCAAATTTGGATAAATAATTGCTCAGAGCTTGCTTGTAGCATGAACCAGTTAAGCCATAAATTATCAAGGTTAAGTCAAGAGCTCAAACAGCTAAAGAATTAAAACGGACAATTCTAACATAAAGCTTAGATAAATCATAAGCATTCAGAATTTATAAGCAGATTTTGAGCTGTGTTCTTGTTTTTTACTGCCCAAAACTAAACCCACACTTCTCCAAATTCCACAAACATTGCAATTATACACAAATCATTTCACTTTCGCCCTTCCAAGATATCAAAAAACCTAGGCAAACAAATTAAACTAAACTACAGAAGTAAAAGTTTTTACTGGCACATATGAGCACAATCGAAAAACTAAACCAGCAACCACCAGTATATTCCATCAATAATAGCCATACCAGGGATAAGAATTAACAATACTTTGTGTCAGATGAATTCTTAAATCAAACGAAAGAGAAAGAAGGTTGAGAACCATTTGGGACAGACACATCATACCAAAAGCAACTAGCATAATTTCCAATCACTGAAACAAGACACTAGTTAAAAATAAAAAAGCTACAATCTAGGCATGACGTTACAGTTTCAGATGATGACTGATCATCTCTCTTATTTGAAGGCAACATTCTCAAGCAGTGAACCAATCCAGCAAGAATGCCCTTTAGTTTGCTCTTATCCTGAAAATGAAATTGGCTCTTCTGCAAAATATCGTGATAATTCTGTAGAATCTGCAATGGATACATTGGAAAATAACAGTTAGTCAAACTAATTAACTGGGCGGAGGGGGAAGGGAACAATATGGTTGGTTATCACTAAGGTGGAGAATCAAAGGTGAAGTAAGGACTCAAAGACCCTAAGAACAATAACAAACCTTTTCAGCATACAAAGAAAATGAAGATGGATATTGCTGGACAAGAAGGTCCAAAAATTTGAAAGCCATCAAGCGAACATCTAAAGCCAAGTGCGTCATTGAATTAAAAATATATGCCACCATCAAAGGAATAAGTGGCCCTTGATTATCCTGAAAATAAGAGGATAGAAACCATTACCAGGGAGCCAAAAAAGAAAACTTATGTCCTTCCATGAAAATTGCACGTAAACAGAAAAGGAAACTCGGTGTTATAAGCACCGACAGAAATTACTTAGAAAGAAAACAAACCCCAACATGGGAAAAAAGTAAAATAACATGGAGGAGCATATGCACCCTCAACCCCAACCTGACTGCCAAAAAACAAGATAAAGTGACAAAAGGATCTGCAGGTTCACAATACAGAACTTGTAGCAGAAAAAAAACATATTGTAAACTAGCAGCTTGCAGGAATTACCTCTTTACAGCCAGGAAAAATCACTGACTTAAATAGTTGGTACAGTGTTTCCCGAACAAATTTATCATCATCACTAATTCGTTCACGGAGTTTCTCTACAGTAGCAAGCTTGTGGAGCTTCAACTCGGTGGGGTACTTAACAAAGATATCCTTGATACCAACCAAAGCATCTGAGAGAGGTTAAAGAAAGAGATAAAAACTTCTCGTAGATGATAACATATATTCCAAAATTGATTGCAAGGAAAGACGAGATTGCATGATGCAAAACAAAAATGAAAAACAATAAAATAAAAAGTACAAACAAAATGGCAACACACTTTCTCACATAATGAACTGATTGTTAGATACAAGGCCCCACAAAGCGGGAGGTGAGGAGACTCCAAAAAAATAAGATGAGGTATAAGATTAATTATTGTAATCAGATGACTTAATCCAAAAAAAGGTGCAAAATATGTTACTGCACCCAAAACATTATGCATCAGAGATAGCAATACCTGGGTAAATCTTAGATAACCATACATACAAGTTTTCGTTACCAAATATAACATTATAGATTCCTCGGTTAAACCAACTCCCTCCGTCCCAAAAAAATAGTCCACATTGAGTTTTGAGTTTTGTACTGTTTTTAGTACAAAATTGAAAACTCAATGTGGACTATTTTTGTGGGATGGAGTTAGTACAATACATTTCAGTGTATGATTCCCTTGGGTTGGCAACTTATTAGAGCTACTAAGCATATAGGTGTAGTTCTTAATTCAACTATGGCAACAAATAGAAAAATAAAGCACCTTTGCGAACTTTCGCATTATGATGACTTGTCTGCTGAAGCAGCTCCTTCAAGGTCAAACCCTTTTTACTCACAGCTAACCCTGTTTTCTCTGACACTACACTCTGCTCGGGAAGAATAATAGCTGTTCAAGGAACAGGCACGAATTAGCTTTCAATTTAATTACAACATGAAGTCCACAGTAGGTGTTTAGGGTTGACAGCCTAATCAAGCCAGTATTGTAAAAGAGTCGTGATCAAGCCAGTCTAAACATCACTGGAGTCTTGATCATAATCAAGCCAAAAAAAACTTTGCATTGTAAAAGAGCCAGTATATACATCACTGGCTCGCCAAAAATCAGTTGAAATGCCATTACTGAAGCCCATAAAAACACATACAGGAAGATAAAAATAAAAAAAGTTTAACCAAAATCAGTTTCTTAAACAAACGGGAAGGTAATTGTCCTATCTGTACCTTTAGACTTGATTTCAGTGTTGGTAGCATTTTTTGGGGGCGGCAATTTCCGACCAACTTTCCTTTTAATTTTCTGCAAAACGAACGAACACAAGAAACTTCCCTCAACAACAGAAAGAAAAAAGAAAGAAAAAAAAAACGTAATAATGTTCAGAATTCAACTACAAAAGCTAAACTACTTTGAAGTCTATTCCTCCGCGCTTCTGCTGCTTCTTCGCTTGAGCTTTGGGCTTCCCCATTGTTGTTAATTTCCCTTCTTGTTTGGTTCACCGATAAGAGAACAGTCTACGCAATTCCAATTTTTTTACAATCCAGGGGTTTTGCCAATTAGGGTTTAAGCTCTGTGGCGGGAGAAAAAAAATTTCTCATAATTGGAAGAATCAGGCATTGCCGGTGGTTAACGGCGGTAGCGAGCTGGCGGCAATTCGTTTCCACAACCCAAACAAATTTTGGGCCTCATTAGGCCCATGATGTAAAGACGAAAAGTCCACCTAAAATTATTGCCGAAAAATTATTTTCTTTTTCTTCTTATCATTCAAAGGTAAAATTTGCAAATTTATTTCGTTCTAAAATCCTAAGATGATTACTCTTTTGCTTCAATTTGTACTAAAAAAAATTCAAACTGAACAATAGTTAAAACAATTAATTGTTTAGATTTTTATTTTTAACTCAATTTATTTACATTAAAAACGAAAATCCAAACTGAATAATAATTTCCGGACGAAGAGAGTATTTTATTTAGTACTTCCTCCGTCCCTGAAAGGTAATCCACATGTACAATTTACGGAATTAAATGTCAAGTATTTTTTTAAACAAGAGAATATATTAGTTTATAATGTACCAAACAAGATGTCTATTTTAATTTTTGAGAGCATAGAGAGTACTAATACAGTCGTACTCCCTCCGTCCCATAATTATTGTCCAGTTTGGGTTTTCATTATTGTCCCAAATTGAACTAAAAATGAAAACCCAAACTGGACAATAATTATGGGACGGAGTGAGTAACATTTAGTTTCTGTTACCATTAGTAGGCCTAAACATCATGCAACTAATTGTGTTTCGAGGTAATCACGTCATTATAAGTTTGGATTTCTAAGTGAACCACATTTTGGTGAAAGAAATTCAGTCCTTCATGGATTCATCAGCAGCAAGCTGTGTAGAGACGAGAACAGGTTTCAACCTCCATTCCAAAAGTTCGAGTTCGTCGACGCCGTTTACCGGCACATACACCATGGCCTGAAAAGCTCTCACGGCGGCAGCATCATCATCGGCGGCATCAGAGTCGTCCACAACTTCCTTAGCGGTAAAGGTCAAGAGCATCAGGAAATTGATGGTCTCAACAACCTTCTCAACATCAACAAATTGGTACCTTACACCCATCTGCGATTAATTTGAACCATGACATTTTTTAACCAGCAATCAACAGAAAAACAGCCAAGGATTTACTGAATTACAAGAATGAAAGGAAATACATACTGTCTTGGAGTTGGCATTGATTTTCCTAAGTACGAACTCAGATACTCCCTTGGCTTCATCATAGAGCTCATGGTTAACCTTCCACTAGCCGAGGACAGAAAGGAGACCAAAACGAATCGGAGGCGTGCAATCAACATCATAACCCTAATAGCAAGGAATTCTGAATTAGCTTATGAACTCAGCCACCATCACAATTATACTTACAGAAACCAGAAAACATGGAAAAGAAAATCGAGATTTCCGTCAATTTGCAATTCAAGATTACAAGAGCAGCAAACGCCCTTGAGGAACCATAGTCATTCTTAATAGACAAAAAGGGGGAAAAAGCCCTAGTTCTACTTTCAAAAGATCAAGCATAATTGAAGTATAGAGTGCCATTAATGGTGCATTGACAGGGGAAATAGAATGATTACAAAAAAAACATACCCTGCTCTCCCTGACTTGTCGAAGGAACCTCATAACGATTTCGTGCTTGAGCTCAGAGTCCTGGAGATCATCGTTGGGATCGTTGAAGAATGGATGATTTGGATCTTCTCTGTCTTCAAACGGAAACTTTTGTCGGTACACTGCGATTAGGTCCAATTCGTTTTCGGTCGGTGGTGGGTATTCTGTCGGAGGCATTGGCCGTGATCAAGCCGACGACAGCAACGGCGACGGGGATGGTTTCTACGTGGAGCTTTCAACCTTTGCTGATCAGCAGGCAATTATCCAGAATTAGTATTTTTGTGTGTTTTGTTTTTCGCCTTTCCCTGTCCTCCCTTCTCTCTATACAGACGAACCCAAATCCTAATTAGATAATGACTGACAGGGAGGGACGGAAAAGGTTTTGAATAATTGCAAAAGAAACCACTTTCAATTATGAGAAAATAGTGGAAACCCCCCTTAAGTTTGCATTTATAGCACTTAACGCACAAAAGCTTGGTTTTGCCAGCAGGTTCGTCAACATTCTTGCATTAGCTTACAATGCACAATGAGCTTTCAATAGTTCAGAATATTTTCGAATACATAATGAAACAATCCCAGTTACTGAACCAAGAAACTTATTCCATTGCAATAGGAATGATTGCAAAAGTTTGCACTCACGATCGAACGAGACCCTTTGCTAAACAAGAATGCCTTTGTCAAAGGACTGAAAGAGTTGTAAGTTGTGCAGAAGGAATGAACTGCTACTACTGGAAGAAGATTTTATTCTTTATCTACATCTAAAAGTGGAATTTAACAGCTACAAATCAAGGGGATGCTCTGTGCGTTTTTGCTTCAAGTGTGATGGGATGGGATCATGGATGTGACAGTACAAAGGGATACAATAAAATGGTCACATAACTAACATCATACAAGCTCAGCTATCTACATCTATCAAACAACATTCTGAAAGAAAAGAATGCTAACAACATTCTTCTACCTCCCATCGGCTGAAGTGAAGGACTCGGCAAAACCAGCAGGTCTTGATGGAATGCTACCCTTGCTGTCCTCAAGATCCAAATAACCAGAATCCTTTCCCTCGGTTTCTTGCCATCCCTTCACCATTTGATTCAGAGGAAGGCTATAATCAATTCCACAGTATTCCTCTGTATCATCTTCCAGCGGTTTCCATTGCTCAACAAGAGAGGATAACACATTAACAACGTGTCCCATTTCAGGACGTTGGTTGGGCTCTCTCGCTGTGCAGTGACCAGCTAGTTCAGCCATGGTTAAGATGGCCTCAAATTTTTCTTCTTTTGCATCTAGGGCCGAGTCAATGGCTGCCATTAGCTTCTCTTTGCTGGACTTGATATGCCAAAACCATGCCGCCAGATATTGGCTTTCTTCAGGTCTATGTTCATCAAGTGCAGTTAACCCCGTTAATAACTCCATCAGCACAACCCCATAACTGAAGACATCGGCTTTTGTTGTGATCTTTCCTGTGACTGAGAAAAACAAATGTAATAGCAGAGTCATAGAGATGTAAACTAATAATATAGGAAGCAACAATAATAAGATGTTGTAGTCCTAACTCCAATGAGTCAATGTCTTACGTAGCTATTAAATCCAAGATTGTCAACAAGTTTACCAAATCCAGTAGGTACATTTCAGCTAAATAACACAATAAAAGATTAACCGAATTACATCTGCAAATCATAGTAGATAATATTCTACGTTCTTACTAGTTTTTTTTTTAATTTTCTACTTGGAGAAACAACTACACACACACTGTACAAGAACAACAAGAACAATATTCATTGGCTTTATTCTATTATGTGAAGTCAGCTACATGAATCATATGCCACCACATTGTTGTGTCAATGATATGCATTTAAAATGAGTTATAACGTCAAAACAATGATACCATCTAACGAAAAATATAGATCAGAAATATAAAAAATGCTTACCCGCATATTCAGGTGCTAGATATCCAAAAGTTCCAGCAAGCCTGGTCACTACAGACTTCTCTCCCTCAGGAGCAAGTTTCACCAGTCCAAAATCAGAGACTTTAGCTCTGAAGTCATCGCCAAGTAAGATATTTGAAGATTTAAGATCTCTATGTATGAAGCTTTGATGAGCTAGAGTATGAAGATATTCCATTCCTCTGGCAACATCGAGAGCAATATTGAGCCTTTTCTTCCAAGATAGTGGCTCCAGTTTAAAACTCTTCCAGTGGAATAGATGCTTGCTGAGCGCCCCTTGAGGCATATACTCATAAACCAAAATCCTTTCACTTCCTTCAACGGAATAACCCAAAAGTGACACCAAATGCCGATGACGGACCTTTGAGAGAACTGCAATTTCGGACTGAAATTCATCCAAAGCCTTCCTACTAATTACTGCAGCTTCCATTCTTTTGACTGCTATTTTTGTACCATCGTCCAACTCTCCTTTATACACTACCCCAAAACCACCACGACCAAGTTCATTTTCTGGGGCGAAGTTTTTCGTCACATTTCGAAGAACTTGAACTGATATGACCAAGTTGCCAGCCTCAATGGTATGAGAATCACCACTGTTTCTGCTAGCAGAACCACTACCTGTCAACGATGAGATGCTTCTAGCATTACTACTTGCAACTGCAATTTTGAGCAAGCTATCTGGATCTGATGAGTCCCTGGGATGAATCACAATAGAACTTGGAGGTAGACCTGTGTCCTTTTTCTTTTTCCTTAAATAAATGGACAGAGGCACAGCCAAACATATCAGAAGGGCAAAAGTTGCAGCCGGAGCTACTATAGCAATCAACTTGGACTTTCCTGAACTTCTTCCTTTGACAGCAGAATAGCTGCTGCTACTAGAATTTGGCCCTTTTGCTGATGAAGGAGTAGAGCTAGAGGGCTGTGAACCATCTGGTGAAGGAATTGTACCAGAAGAACTAGGACTTGCAGGTGAATTCCCAAGGAAGTTAAAATGTACACTAGTACTAAAGTTTGGCCAAGGCGGGGACAAGTTGTTATTGGTTACATCCAAAAGTACCAAAGATTTCAGTCCAGTCCAATTTGAAGGAATATGTCCTGAAAGATTGTTAGAATCTAAATATACGTGAGTGAGCGAATCAAGTTTCGCAACAGAAGGACTCAGACTACCAGAAAGGTTGGACTTGGCCAAATTCATGATTTCAACCTTCCCATTCCGGTTACAGGTCAATCCCAACCACTGCCCAACGCAGGGATCGTTTCCCGACCATGATTGAACCAGCCTTAACGGGTAGTTCACTCCATCCAGAAAATCAATAAGTGCCATAACCTCAGGTGCACAAGTAGAGCCAACAGTTGAATTACAGAATGGGTTGGATGAATAAATAACTTTTGCAGCCTTAAACTCTGGTACTGGACCCATAAAATGATTATTGTTCAAATCAAGATTGTCTAAAGGCATGTTTGCTAAACTATTAGGAATGACTCCAACGAGGTCGTTGCCATTCAGATTAAGATCTCGCAAGTAAACTAAATTACCAATATCTGGTGGAATTTTACCTGAAAAATGGTTCCCATGAAGCCACAAACTTGTTAATGATCCCATTGTAGCAATTATATCAATTGGGCCAGTCATACCTCCACCAGACTGTTCATTCAACCAAAGGATTTTCAGAACGGTCTCATTGAAACTAGCAGGAATACCCCCAGTAATTCGATTGTTGGATAACATCAATACTTGTAAAGATGGCATCTTTCCTAAGAATTCCGGAAGAGGACCGGCTAAATTACAACTCATCAGAGTAAGATTAGTCAACTGAGCTGAATTTTGCAAATCATCTGGCAGTGCCCAGCCATTGGTGGCATTAAGAGGATTGTTATCCAATGCCATCACCTCTAAACTCTCCAAGCCAATGAAGAAATCAGATGGGATAGTGTCAAACTGGTTGAAATCCAAGTAAGCATACCTCAGCTGAGACAGCCCACTAAAAGAAGGCAACTTTCCATTGAATTCATTCCCCTGCAGGCCTAAATTCGTCAACATAGACAACTGATTGAAATTTTGGGGCAAGGTGCCTTTCAACCCCAAGCCCCTAACTTGAATCTGAGTAACCCGGTTGCCATGGCAGAACACATGAGGCCAGCTTGGAGGACCACAGGGGTCGTTGCCATTGGCAGGCCAATTGAGAAGTTCTGGATTCTTCAACCCATCTCTGAACTGATTGAGAACAGCAAGGTCACCAGGGTCTGTAACACAAAAAGCAAGTTTGCAGAAAAACAGACATAATGCCACACCAAGCGTTATCTTCTCAGCAACCTCCATTTTAGGGCCTTGGAAACATGCATTGAGAAAGGCAAGAAAGAAAAAAAGGGATTTTTATCTCAGATTTCACAAGAATGGTGAATAAGGATCAAAACAGAACCCAGAACCAGAATAGAGGAAGACATTAAGGATGGGGGGATAATTGGAGTGAGAAACAATCACTGCTGCTGCATAATTGTTTAATGCATGATGTGTAGAAGCAGCGTCCTCATAATGTGAACAAAAATCACATTACAAGATTGGGGGACTGAAAACAGTAACATCCGGACCCTTAAAGATTGGAGCTTTCATAAATTTCTAAAGAACCCAAAATTGAAAAAGAGTGGAAAATTTTGGAGGGATGTCAGAGTTAAAAAATGGTTTCTCTTCTCTCCCAGTATACATCCAATACTGCCTCAGTACATTTATTGGTGGCTGTTGACGTTTAGGCAACTACTACTACCATTGGGATTAATTAATTAGTACATTCTTTTGATTACCGGTGAGGGCCATAAATTCTCTCTATATTTGTTTTCTTTTTACTAACTTTATTCTTTTCTCAATTTTGGCGATTTTTCGACAAGATTAATGGATGTGATGTGTGTGCGCACCCGGTGAGTATTTTTAATTAAACATTCCTTTGGTGTTTTGACGGAAAAATTTATGGAATATCCTAAGCAGAGGCCAACCTCTAACATCATCATCATCATCAACTCGTTTCCCCATGTTACCGAGCCTTTGCAGTGTGATTATGATTTTCTTTCTGGTCCTTTACCTGTTTCAGCTTTTTGCTTTTGTTTTGGTTTTTATCAAAATGCACCAGTTATAAGTTTGGGACCCTGGGACCAAAATAAATGTGGAACTACACTCTTTCTTGGAACCACAAAGATATTTTACACACATCGAGCCAATTCTAATGCATTAGGCATAACGGAAAAAAAAATGAGATGGTTAACCAAAGAGGTTGTGGTAAAGTAGAAAGGACTCTTTCACCCTTAATCATAGGTCGAGGGTTTTAATTTTGTCATGAGCATGAAACAATCTTAAATTCTTTGGCTAGCTTTCCTACCTATCAAGGTACCTATCATACGGTAGACACATAAAAAATGAGATGGTTTAAAAATGAAAAATTGTTAGATGGATTTATCATTGTGTTACACCATGTTCTGTAATTGTTAGATGGACTATGATTGTGTTACACCATGTTATGTTGCAGAAGTCCGAAGATGGGGGACTCCAAATCGAGTTCAATAATGATGTATTTTAAGCTGGAATCTGAGCATTAGCCAATTGATCAGAGGAGACTTGTCAGTCAAACATTGATCCGAAAAGTGACATATATATCTGTGGCACGTCTCAACAATTGCCACCTAATTATATACTTATAGTGTGTGGTTCCAAATTTCCAATTTGATTTTTTGACGAAAATCTATATGTTGGCGACAACTGATGTTGACAATATTGCCTAACGACGTGAACTAATTAATTTCAATTGATGTCAATAATTCACTGTGAAGAAGAATATTAGAGGCACACATGCATGCATGCTCGATCATCATCATATGACTTCACCACCATGAGTGGAGGAGGAGCAAAGAAGACGATTAGAAAAGGCCCAAAATTGATTTCCATTTTCTAATTATAAATCTATTTAATGGTCATTTTATTTTTTTCCGATCAATAGAATTATCACCTATTTCGTTTTCATAACGGAGAAAAAGAAAGAAAGAAAGAATAGTGCATGAGGCATGCACCGTAATCAAACACGATCGATGGTACAAATTAACTTGCGTTATTATCTGTACAAACGTGAAACGAAGGCAGGCCACATGTTTGCCGCTTTTAAAAATTTCACAAGCTTGATGATGACTAAAGTTTGCAATTATATCCCCACGATATAGCGCACCATAATTGATTAATAATTAATCTTTTTATTCAATGAATAGTGCAAAGATCATGGGTTCAGATTATATATTTTGCTCGACTACATACTCACTGTAATTAAAATAAAAACTTACTAATATAGCTAACATCAAAATTCAAAACCCAAAGGAGAATCTTGCCAGCATTTGGACAGTATTGGATCTAATGTTTTTTCAGGTACATTGGTCGTAAAACGATTGGCTAACGAACCAAGATATTTAACCAGACGAACAGCAAAATGTCAACGCAAAATAATAGTTACTCGGATAATTAATCCGTAGTATGATCTGGAGGCAACCATATATAGGAGTTTTTTTAAAACTGAAATTTCGCTTCGACGTCGCTATATAAATGATTCCCACACGTTAGCTCTCTTCCTTGTAAGTTGTAGTAACTTATAAGGCTGTAATCACCATTTATCTCTGATTATCTTAATTAAATAAACGTAAATGTGACAGGAATATATTCACTCACAGGGATTAACTCGTCACTCGATCGAAGGATAATGGAGAATCTAACCATGTCCAGAGCTGAACTAGTTGTATATATGAAACAACTACATATATACTCCCTCCGTCCCATAATTATTGTCCAGTTTAAATTTTCATTTTTAGTTCAAATTATACTAAAAGTTGTACTAAAAGTGAAATTTCAAACTGGACAATAATTTTGGGACAGGGGGAGTATATTCTCATTCACTTCGTCAAACTCTGCAATAAAGATGAAAACCTTAGTTGGGAATTGGAATTACGTCTTGACAATGCATATGCTACTAACAATTAATCATATTAGTCCATCTCGATAAAGATAACTCAACTTATTACAGTCAGTTGCCGTTAGGGATTATAAAATATCCCATCTAAGGGGGAAAGAAAACTAGACGATGGATGCCATTTTCTTAAATTTAGTTTATGAATCAAGTAAAGTAGTAGTATAAACCTTGTCTTTTTTCCCAAAATGCGTGTAACTTGCGATTTACTCCTATCCAGGCTACATGTATTATTAGCTTGAAAGTTACATTTCCCAATTATATAAAACCCAATCGAAGTTCTTTGTATGTCTCGATCCATCTTTTCGAGTTTCCAGCGCTATTTTAATTTCATTCGTCCTGCTTTAGTAATGATCGCATACACATTCCAATAACTGCATATCAACTCCAACATGCAGTGATCCATGGTCATGAATTCATCATATTTTCCAAAATTAAGTATATTTCCTCTATTCATGTATATAATCATGGAAAAGTATATATTGTTGGTACTATATAAACATACATATGTCATTGAACTAATTTTTAATGATTTCACAAACTGAGTTTTGGAGTATTTATATTTATGTATACGTTCTCTTCTTGTTTTATAAACTATTTATGTATATATGGACATGGAGCAACCGTAAATACTTTGGCCAGTTATCCTATCCATTAAAATATCTACAATTCAGTGAGGGGGATTAGTCACTGTTACCGATGGTAGATAACTTACAAATATGCGATAAACCATTTATGTATACATTTTCCTCCCTGAGTATGGACCAAGCTCCAACTGGAAATATTTTAGGTCTCCTTCGCCTTTCCTATGCTGTAGGGCGTTTGTCAAAAATAAAAGAAAAGCTACTCGGCCAAAAAGCTTTTGGGGCCACAATCCTACAAAGTACAAACACATAAATTATATCCAAAAAAAATAAAATTAAATTAACCGAAAGACTCCATTAAATCTAAGAGTAAGCTTTCCTGTCCGTAATTAGAGTGGAATTAAGCTCCTGTTTAGAAAAAAGGAAAATGGGCCCTTCCTTTTTGTCTCCATTCTTATCGCCCAAGAGCCAAGATCCACTTATCTATTTTTAATCATTTTTGTTGTAATGTGATGTTATTCCGTCATAAGATACTGAACTGTTTAACCAGATTTGCTTAAATCATTTGTTTAATTATGTTAGTGGTGACATTATGTCGAGTGTTCTTTTTTTTAGGTTGCTCTCCGTATCTTACCCACTTTTGCCTTGTTGTGCCTCTTGGTTTGCTGTGCTTCCTATGCTCCTGCATTTTGCATTTTAAAATCATTCTTGGTTCTATAGATCTACTATGCCGTTATATGACTGGAATTTGGAAGGTAAAATGAAACAAAAAGAAACGTAATTATATAATAACCGAAAATGAATAGCTCAATTTTATAATATAGTAACATTTGCAATCATTCTCGTATAACGGAAAACCCTAGAGCAAATTTTCCTATTGAAGTACTACCAAATTAATCATCTACTACTTTTTCCTTAAGGATCGATAAATTATGTGGGAAACTATAAAGTAAAAAAACAAAGATGAATATGTTCGGTTGTTAAGGTTTTACAACTCTCTTGACTTCTTCCAAAAAAAAAAAAAAAAAAAAACAACAACAACAACTCTCTTGAGACAGCGGACTAAGGGTCGGTTTTTAAACTAAAGTTGGATTCTTAATACAATTATATAATTACAAAATCAGAGATTATCTAAATTCAGTAACCCTATTTTCTGTTCACCCTTCACACCCATAAAGAAAAAATTAAAAAAAAAGGTTCCATTTAAAATAAAATGAAAAATAAATGGTCCCGCACCTCTCTTCAGTAGTTCAATGCCACATGCTTGTCCTATTGTCTTTGTCCCCCCATGCCAATACGTCCCGAATATCATCATGAATATGAAGGGAAATGAAAGTATGGAACTTAGGGAAGTGCATAAGACATTGAAATTGAGGTCTTTTTAAAGTTTTTTTGGGCTTCATATTTTCTTATCATGCATGGCTACGGGAAGTAATTTCTTGATTGATCAAAGTGCCTGCATTATACTTTGGAATTGAATTCATTGCTTCATGTGTCCTATTCTCAAAAGGGGCGACAGTGACTTATGGTTTTGAATTATTGAAGTTGGATTAGACCACAATATTCCCTCATCCAAGTTGAGTTTTTCTTTTCCGCCATTCCCTTTAGTATTAGAAGCCCTTTTTTCCTTTTCGTAATTTGCGTGATATGTTGGAATGAGACAGCAGCTCCACAATCTCCATTCTCCACTAGGTGAAAAACAAGGGAAATAAATTCACTTTTGAAGATTAACCCCGCTAACCAAATTAACATTCAGTATCCTTAATTGATGGCTACCCAAACACTGCTTCCATACCACATTAATAATTTAGTTTAGAATATTGTTTTAGTTTAACAAATAAAATTATTTTTCGACACGAAATAAGGCGAGTACCATTTAATCACGAGTGATGAATTAGCTAATAGTGATAGACACATCACAGAATGAACTTACACAAATCTCTCCACAGTCCTTCTTTCCAATTTAACTTCACAAATATTTTAAGTAGTGAGATTTGCCATTCTCTTGACGCCAGGCGTGACATGGTGCCCTCAATTGAAAAGTTCGACAGAGAAAAAAAATGTGGTCTTTTCTCTTCAACTTATATGTTCAACAAACATTTACTACTAAACATGAATAAAGGCGAATGAGATTTTGTATTTAATTGATAACTTTCATGAATTCAACAATGTGTATGAGGCACGGTTAGCTGTATGAACTTGAAAATTTTTATTAAAACTCCAATCCTTTTATTCTGAACCAAATATTTAGACAAGTATGTCGTCCTATGCAATGGTTTGCTTTTTAGCAGATGGGGATCAACACATGGAATCTCCATCATGACCATGATTCCCTTATTTCCCTCTATCCGTTTCATTTTGCCTACTCAAAGTGAAGCCGGAAGGCCGATGACATGACAATTTGACAATCCTTTGACTAATGGGCCACTTTTTTGTTTTGGGTACTTTTCCAGCTTGGCCTGTGACCAATGCCACCTGCAACGCGCCCAAAACTGAGAACCTTTGTAAGATGTTCCAACCTTTCAAATTCTCTAGAGTCTTAGACACTAGTTTATTGTATGAACTCATGGCTTGGAATCCAAATGGTAGGTGCCGATGCCGTTCTTTCCAGTGTCTATAGTGCTAGAAAACACCATGGACGACGACCTCGGTACTTGGCTACGAGGTTGAAACTTTCATTGCATAACATGGTTGTGCCAACACATCTCGAAATGAAGGATAGCAGCTTTACGAAATTAGCACAAAAGAGCGGATGGCGAGCTCTCATTTTGCAGCTACAGCTGACAACAACAAAGTCTTCATCCCACTAGATGGAATATGTTTTTGCAGTAACAAATGATACATGCATTACAATGATCAGTATTATAGGGGCATAAAAATTAGAAGGCCCACACAACGAAACAGATACTAGTACAGATACATGATGGGTGATAAACATCAACAATCAGACTGATAACACTTGTTTTTTGACACAAAACAGCACACTTTATGGATAATAAACCATTGACCTGATGATTTAAAACCACTGGCTAGCTCACAGGAGACGGCTGCAAAGGTGGAACCGGAAGGCTTGGTGAAATAACCTGCAAGAGCCCTGTTGCCAGTCTCGCTGTGAGATCTTCCACCGGCATTTTCACGACATCTCTTCTCATCCCAATATCAGCAGCATAACGACTTGCGCAATAAACCCCAACAGCAGTCACCGCCATTCCGTATACATTAGTAGTGACAAGACGCAGAGGTGTAGATAAAACAGCAGCGAGAGGACCGCCTATAATGGACACAGCTTGACCACTCTGCCCCATTGTACTTTGATCTACAACAAGCAATCCCGTCTTGCAGTAAATCGCAAAGTCTTCACAGTTGTTCTTGAACACATTGTAGCATCCAAAACCATTCTCAAGAAGGTACTTTGCTCGGTGAACCACATCATCATCTGGGTCTGAAGCAGCAAGGGTGCAAGTTCCTCCCCGTGCTTTTGCAAGAAATAGAGCAGGGTTTACAGCATACTCAAAGCGATACAGAACACCACCAGCAAGGAAGCAGTCCAAACATGAGATAACAACTCCATGACCGTCTGCAGGAGAAATGCAGGTTGGGCATGGAACATGACCTCGATTAGGTCCTGAACTGACCAATAGAAGATCCAGTACGGTCCCTGTTCCTACCTCTTGGCCACGTCTAGTGAAATGTATTACCTTATTGTCCCCGATGTAGACACCTAAATATTCAAATTCAATAATTCACATAAACGATTTCAACTCAACAAATAGCCAACCATAACATAGTCTTTCCCAAGTAAGATTGTTTCTTCCCCTTGACATGCAAATAACTATAGTCTATAGAACAAACTGAAGTCCAAAAATGAGGTAAAACTCTTTAGATTTGGCGCTTAGGTGTCTAGTAATAAGATAAACAAACATTTGCAAAGCCAAATATGTTTCTACTCTCCTGGTTGCGATGTTGTCTTTTTCCTAAAAGAAAGATGCAATCTTAGCAGGGGGAGTTCAAGACAAGTAACAGAGCTATCCTATGTTTCTTTACTCCAAATAAATGCCTCAAATCGTTCAGAAACAAAAGAGAGTATATTTTTAATAAAAAAAAGCATATTTTCTACAGAGTTCTTTACAGTTCCAAAAAAAGATAAGATCTTTTTGTACCAAAAATAAAAATAACAGTAAGTTCTATACTCAAGTACTCAAAATGAAACGAAACATACTAAAAAATTTAACAAATGGACAAACGCCTAATACCAGGAGGCAAGTCATGTTACTGATTCAAAAGATAGAACTTCAGATTGTCTTTCCAAATGCTTCAATCAAACCCCACAATAAATCCATCATCAAATCAATTATAGTTGAAATTCCTACATCCAATTATGCACTTTCTTTTTTTTTTTGAAAAAAAAAAGAAAAAAAGAAAAAGAAAGGCAAGGAGCAACTCAAAGACAGAATAAAAAGGGAAATGGGAAAAAAAAAAGAAAAAGGCTGACCGTGATGCGCATAAGTATAAGCGGCGCGCCAGGAATAAATATGATCACCGGGTTTGAGGCTGCCTCTATCAACCCTGTTAGCATAAAAATCACTGTTTTATCACCACTGGTAAAATTTGAAGTATTTGGAAGAAAATAAACCCAAATCAAGACAGAACCTGTTGGAAAGCAGCCCCATGGGATGTCAGAAGAGGAGTATTAGAAAGTGCAGTGGAAATGAATATGTGAATTCAGGCGAGAAATTCCTCAGAGTTTCGATAAGAGAACCGAAATAGAACCGCTTGGTTTCGATTGCTTTTTTAGGCGTTGAAATTACAAAAGAGTGTCCCCCTTGCTTCAGTTTTTGGAACTTCGTCCTTAAGGAAATCCAAGGAATAAAGAATTGTTTTTATTTCCAAAAAAAATAGAGATTCATTGAGAATTTGAGGTGGATGATGATAAAACCAGGTCAGGGAAAAATGGAAGAAAGCTCGGGGAACAGCCCACGCGGAGAGGAAATAGAAACGAGAAAGCCCATTTGCAGGTGTTCATGCCATCAAGGCCCATTTTGTTACATCATGCATCGGGCTATAAAAAAGTACTAATAATGCATGTTAACACGCAAATAGAGTCCCCCCCTTAAGTCCTAAATCCTAATATTCTTTTTTTTTTCTTCTTTAACAATGAAGGAGGCCAAATGGTCTAAACACTAAATTAGTAAGATAGCACGCATGAATATGCAACAACAAATGACCTTGAAAGACAAAATTATCACAAAATTGAAATACTATAACTTGCAACAAAGTCCTAAATCTTAATATTCTCGCATGCCATCAAGGAGTATTGTTATTATCATATATTTCATGTTTCGGGAATAAAAGATCTCTATAACTTTATGTTCAAACTAACAACCACATTTAGAGAGTATAATATTTTCCTTTTAGCAAATATTCTTTGTATTTTACAGAAATAATTCACATTAAATTTTGATATTTGAACTAAATGTGAACTATTCTTTCATGGCCGCCCGGCAAAAAGAACCCATAAAAGAGTCTTTAGGGGAATTGTTTGCATGAACTCTGAAAACACGCACTAAAATTAGTGCACATCAGTAACTTAGTCAACCCACTTATGGAAGTGTGGATGCTTTTGCTTTAATAATGGGTAAGTAACACGGTTGCCTAACTTATGCCGTTATCTTCGTTTTCATTAAGACCCGTAATTCATAAGAAATTTCACTATTAACAACGTGACTGGAATTCTCCCATTAATTCTCCGAAACTTTGTGCAGATCATAACACTGGTTCGCCATGAAATTTGAAGATGCTGCGTTATGAAAGGAATTATATATTTCCTTGATGGGTCATGTTTATTGGTAAGCAAATTTCAGAACAGTATATTCCAACTTCCGGAATATTCTGGATTGATAGGGACAATCTTGTACGCAATCATACTACAATAACTGACAAACATCACCCCAGACGATGGAAGCCCATCAAGAAGGCTAACTGGGTCCAAAAACTCCAAAAACCTTTAAAAACATAAAATAAATTAAATAGAGAAAACTGGTAGTTGCCAACTTGCCAATGTTGTGTGACAGATGAAAATAGATCTTAAATTTCAAATCAGATGAGACGGGAAGTGCTAGCTTTGCTTTTGGCGAATGAGGAGCAACCGTGTGAGACAAATATACAAATACAATACTCGTAAAGTCATAATACACATTCATTGCACTTAATTTACAACTATCAAAATTTTTATTGTCACACTGTTACGTAATGTTACAATTATCTTGTTGGGCTGATATTGCTTTTGTCCTGTTATCTTTTTTATTAATCTTGACATTTTTAGTAAAGCCTACATGAAGTTTGCATTCCTTGCATAGTTGCATGTCGTCAATATCATAGAAATATCACCTAAGAAACTGGATTCTCAAATTGGTCTGGTCCTGGTGTCATATTTGACCATTTTCCTTTCAATCTTACTATAATACCTCTAACTAGGTGAGGCAGGCCATTTTTGCGAGTCAACAAGGTAGCTACTAGCTAGGTCGTCGAGCTAGCTATTCAACTTAACAAGAAAAAAAGAGGGCCTTCACAAAATTAAATTTTGCTCGTGTTTGTCGTCCCTTCGAACTCTTAGGCTCAGTTTTGTTTTTTCTCAAAATTTTTTAACAACAATAAATTATCATTTCAGCCTCTTTTTTTTTCATTTTTCATACACTTTTTTAATTTCAACACAAAAATACTTAAAAACACAGATTAAAAACGATCCAAATATAAAATCGTCCATTAACCATCATCATCTGTTGGATTTTTGATGTCCTAACCAGTAACTAATTGACGTATCGACGTGTATGGCTATGATCTTTAGGACATGAGCACTAGGGAGGTCCATGATGCATTGATGCTGTAGGAGGGAGGAAGGAGCCATAGATGCTATAATGCTCCGGCCAATTCAAGATCAGAACAAAGAAGAAATCGACGAAATCGGGAATGGTAAATTGGAGAGCCAGGGTTTCAGAGAACCATACCGAAGGGAAAACAACTATTTTCAATTCAATTCAACATTTTTCGATAATTTGTTTACACCCCAGGGTGACTATATATAGCCTTCCAAGTTTACGAAACTACCTATAAGCCCCTATACTATTGAATTGAGACAATGAAGACCTCAACTCATAACAACCACCAAATTAAAAAGCCCAGTAAGGGGTCCATTACGTTATCATTCCACGTGACATTTTAGCCCAGGTCATCTTTAGGAAATCTAATAAACGTTGACTCATCCTACGTGTCTGTCCACGTGTCATCCCAAATCCCCGTAAAAATATATTCTTTTTCTTTTCTAAAATTTAGCTGATTTTACAATTATAGACCGCCACAAAGCCTAGCCGTTCCAGACTTCCAGTTCCCATCTCCTTTCCTGTTTTTGGAATTTTCTTGGAAGATTCCCAATTCCACACTCTGTACAGAGAGATTGAACTTTTTTCCATTTCGTACCCTAATCCTCAAGGAAAACCTTCAATTCTTCCTGAATTATATAGACCCTACCGGAATTCGCCTCGATGATGCTTAATATGAAGGGGCCGGAGGCCCGAACGACGTCGTCGGCGTCTCCGTCGGCTCCCAGTTCTATCGTCACCGCCGAGAAAGCTTTCTCTTTTATCTCCAAAGGATGGAGGGAAGTTCGTTCTTCAGCTGACGCCGATCTCCAATTGATAAAAAACCGGGCTAATTCGTTCAAGAACCTGGCTGATAGAGAGCTGGAGAATTTCCTCAACTCCGCCTCGAGATCGACCTTCGTTGTTCCCGCAATTACGGCCTCTGCCACTACCACCACCCCTGCGGAGATCGATTTCGTCAAGAAGCTTCGACCAAAATTGACCGAATTTCGGAGGGCATATTCGTCGCCCGACTTTAAGTTGAGCCAGTGGAGCCCTAAACCGAAGCTTGGTATTGATTTATCCGCCATTAAAAATGCTATTGTGGCTGAGGTTGAAGAGGATGAGGAAGACGAGAGGGAGAGGTTTAGGAGATGGAGGGGTGTGAGGTTTAAGGAGGGGGAAAGGGAAGATGGCCAGTTTGGGGAGTTGTGGGAACCCCTTAAGGCGTTTCAGACTAGGCTCAGAGAATTTGAGCAGAAGAGCTCCTCGGAGATTTTTGAGGGGATCAAGAATAGCGAGTTCGTGGTTAAGGTCAAGTCCAGTCTGGTAATTTTCCTCATTCTTATCATCTTTGTAAACATTTTGCAGTACTTCTCGTTTTATTTGATTGAATTTGTGTTCTTATCCTGAATTTGACTTGTCCGGATAGGTATTTTGTTGTGCTGAATTTTTTATTTATTTAATCGTATTAAGATGACTATGCTAGTGAAAAATTATCCTTGCATGTCAAATTCACCAGTTCTGCTGAGACATTGTTTTAGCTTTCGGAACTTGCTTATAAATGGCATTACTCGTTAATTACTGTTCAGACCAATTTCTATTATCTGCTTTAGTTAATAATTTGTTCTGTGTTTTGGAATTTTGCAGAGAGCTATGCACAAGGAGCCCAATGTCTCCAAGGTTGGTGCTTATTTACTCAGTATGATTAAATGATGTGGAGACTGTACATTTTAATTTTAGTCTACGGGTATAGCTTCAGTGAGGATGAGGTACCGTGCCTTAGCACAATGTCATAGGCTCATCCTTAAATGGAAAGTGTTTTAGTCTAAGTTCAAGGTTGGTCCGCAGAATTTGGTGTAATCTTCTCTGAGTGAGGTGATGGTGGCTTGTACCTGTAGTTTCTGTATGTCAGAACCATTCCTTATTTGGATTGTGGGTCAGGAGTTTCCATTTTTTGAAAATTATCATATGCATGTATACATATCGCGAGAAGAATAGGGGTGCCTCTTCATCTCTTATCCCCTTTCTTATGGGTAACGGAACTTTTATTGCTGTAAGATGTTGGCTGTTGTTCTGTTTCAAAGCTTCCAACATTTCTTTCTTAAATTGGGAAGCTGTTTCCACTTTGCTTTTGGTGAATAGTCTTATGCCGTTGAATGATTTTTTGACAAACAAGAAGTTCCATTGGTGCCTTTTTTTTATTTTCCTATTTCAATATGTTTGATGATATTGCTGTCAGTTGCCTTCTTTCTTGTGGTGGTCACTTTTATTTTAAAGTAACATAACTTGGCACATAGTTTACTGATCCTTTTTTTTCACTTGTTATGCAGGAAGTTCCACCATTGGATTTGCCAGAACTGTTGGCTTATTTTGTTAGGCAATCCAGTCCTTTCTTGGATCAACTGGGTATTAGAAAGGGTATAAATACTTTCCAAGTTTTTGTTTTTACCTGTTTGTTGCTTTGTTCAATTATCCCCTTCTTTATTCGTATGTGTTTAATAATAGCTAGGCATGCTGTCATAGATTACTCTTTGGTGGTTAAACTCAAATATTATGCATCATGTCTTGAGATCATAGTTCTGCTCTAAAACAAGCTGGTAGTGTTTGATTTATCAGTGCAGTATCTATTTTGCTATATTTTTAACTTACAAGGAAATGTTGAGGTGTTCTGGAAACTGTATTAGTTGCATATCCATGATATCAAAAACATGTTGACCAATTTTATGTGATGTGATTTGATTGCAGATCTATCTGATAAGATAGTAGAAAGCTTGTGCAGCAAACGCAAGAATGAGTTGTTACTACGCTCATTACCTACCGGAGAGTCATCGATTGTGGAAGCTGATAACATCAGTGATGAGTTAGATTTAAGAATAGCAAGTGTTCTCCAAAGTACAGGTCATTCGTATGAAGGTGGAATTTGGGGTGATTCCTCGAAACGGGACTTATCAGATCGGAAAAGGCATGTGGCCATTGTTACAACTGCCAGTCTTCCATGGATGACAGGAACTGCAGTAAATCCACTGTTTCGAGCAGCTTATTTAGCCAAGAATGCGGAACAAGACGTGACACTTTTGGTTCCATGGCTTTGTAAATCAGACCAAGAGCTCGTTTATCCAAATAATCTAACGTTTAGCTCACCAGAAGAACAAGAGCTTTACATACGCAACTGGCTTGAGGAAAGGGTTGGCTTTAAGGCCAATTTCAATATTTCCTTTTACCCTGGAAAGGTAATTTTCAGCACGCACGGTGCTTCCTATTTTGGCCTTTTATTGTCAGATTGCGACTGCTAATTAGTTATCTTTCTCGGACTGTAGTTCCAAAAATGCAGGCGAAGTATAATACCTGCAGGCGATACTTCTCAGTTTATTTCATCAAAGGATGCTGATATTGCAATCCTGGAAGAACCAGAACATCTGAACTGGTACCACCACGGCAAGCGTTGGACTGATAAATTTAACCATGTCGTCGGTATTGTTCACACCAATTACTTGGAGTATATCAAGAGAGAGAGGAATGGGGCCCTCCAAGCTTTTTTTGTGAAACACATAAACAATTGGGTGACAAGAGCATACTGTGATAAGGTTTGGGTTTAAACTTTGTGTATATTTACATATGCAATAAGCATCAAATTTTATGATTTGGTTTCTAAAGCTTAGTTTATATTTTTGTTAATTACTCTCTAAAAAGTATATTATGTTATTCTGTCCAGGTGCTACGACTTTCTGCTGCAACTCAGGATTTACCAAAGTCTGTCATCTGCAATGTTCACGGTGTGAATCCCAAGTTTCTGAGAATTGGAGAGGAATTGGCAGCTGAGAGAGAACTTGGGCAGCAATGCTTTTCGAAAGGAGCATATTTTCTGGGAAAGATGGTTTGGGCGAAAGGTTACAAGGAGTTGATAGACCTGCTGTCAAAGCACAAGAATGATCTTGATGGCTTTAAACTAGATGTTTATGGTAATGGGGAGGATGCCCATGAAGTTAAGAGCATGGCTCAAAGGTTAAATCTTAACGTCAATTTTATGAAAGGGAGAGATCATGCAGACAACTCACTTCATGGGTAAGTATCTTTTGTGGAACTATATGGTTAAAGAAATTAATCAACAGCGGTAGTTGGTCTGCGGTGATTTATTGTTTTAGAGGCCCTTAAATACATTGTCAGCAGTGGAGAATGGCCAATGTCCTATTTAAAAAACCTAAGCACCTCTTGCTTTGGTCATCTATTGCACTCCTGCGTGTTCTAATCACTGTGCTTGATGTTTGTGCTCTTTCTTGCAGGTACAAAGTCTTCATAAATCCCAGTGTCAGTGATGTTTTATGCACGGCAACAGCTGAGGCGCTTGCTATGGGAAAATTTGTAGTTTGCGCTGACCATCCATCAAACGAGTTCTTCAGGGCATTCCCTAATTGTTTGACTTACAAGACACCTGAAGACTTTGTTGCTAAAGTTAAAGAAGCAATGGCCAGTGAGCCTCAACCTCTAACTCCTGAGCAGCGGTATAGCCTCTCATGGGAGGCTGCTACCCAGAGATTCATGGAGTATTCTGATCTTGATAAAGTGTTAAAAAGCGACTCATATTTAGGAAGACATTCAAGGAATGCCATGAAGAAGTCCATTTCGTTGCCTAATCTGAATGAGATGGTTGATGGAGGATTGGCATTTGCTCACTACTGCCTCACTGGCAATGAGTTCCTCAGATTATGCACTGGTGCAATGCCCGGCACTCGGGAATATGGCAAGGAGCACTCTGAAGATCTGCATCTGTTGCCTCCGGAGGTTGAAAGCCCCATATATGGCTGGTAGTCGTTAGTAACTAACCTGTATATCATCAATATGTGCAGATATCGTAGAAATATAATATACTTATACAGTTAGGGGGTGAACGTGATAATTGAAAATTTTGCCTCTTTACTAACCTGCTCATACACCTTACTCGATTCTTTCATGTTGGTTCTTTTCATTGCACGCAGCTGTTGTAAAGATCTGCGCTTTGAATCGCAAAATTACACTTAACCGTTCAATCTCTTCTTGTAGAGAAATAATCAATTTTTCCTCCCTTCACTTGCAAAGTTGATCAGTACTAGCATCGTAGGGACAAAAGAGAAAACAGCCCTAGCCTATACCAAGTATCTAGCTTTATGCATTAGAGACGCTGGAAATGATAACTTCAAAAATATTTCCTGATCATCACATGAAATCACGTTATCTGATGAGAGGTCTACCTTGATCATGTTTAAGATAGACAAATTTGCTGATTCCATCGATCAATTTAATTAATTTAGTCGAAGAAAAGTGAGATAAAAGTCTGCATTTTGAACGGATAACCTGTTCAGTAACATATTATAAGAAACGCAGAGTGGTATTTCTTTTAAGCATGTGATCAGCAAACAACTTTTGACTCTACTTTCCAATGATGATGAACAAATGGAACCTGGGAAGGACAACAAGGTTCGTACAAAGTGACCTAATTCATTCCATTAAAGAAAGATTTCATATCCTCGAAAGAGAGCTCTTATGAAGAATCCTATTGAAGGACTAGACGTAATATACGTAGCCCTGAATAATATTAATGTCTACTTGCGCATGATTGCTTCCTATATGAATGCATTTCTTAGTTGAGTTGTAACCGCTGCTTGTTTTATAGTATGACATAGTACTTATAAAACATTGTTCAAAGCTTGATGAATGGTTGATTCTCTTGATACCTTATTGCAAACGTGTAATTAAATTAATTATTATTTTCCCCTTTTTTGGTATAAAGCTAGAGCGCACTATACCCTTGAACCTGATCTTTAACATCAGCAACAGGCATTACATATGAACAAACTATACTCTACATGAAGTGATCATTACAGCTATTTGAGTTTTGTTTTATTATTATTATTAAGAAGAGGTTAAAGTCTGACAAAAATTAAACCATTACATTTTATGGATGGAATATTTTGATAATATCGTATTCTAATCACGATTTCACTGGCAAGCTTACCGAGTACGTAACTTGTAACTAAAGATGTCATATGATTTGTTGCGAACTTCAAATCTTAGAACAGATGATTATATTTACATATCAATATCTACAAATCAATCCCACGAACTAGGCCTCCACTAATGCCAACAAAATCTTCGATTTGTATCACACTGAGATTATCAACTTGCACAATTATTTGGCAATATCCCAACTCCAACATCAGTTGTAATTCTTAAACTAAACCCAGTAACTCAGCACTTATAATCGAAACAAAATCTATATTCATGACAAACCCTCGAATCCAACCTCCCAGTCATCTCGAATCAAACCGCCAGGGCTTTGCCTCCCAAAATGGCTATGAAAAGAGCCATCTGAATTTATCTTTATCCAACCAGCAGACAAAAAGGACCAGTTAATCATAGGTTCACGCCCAATTCCGGTTCTACCCACCTTGAATTTTCTGCATGGGTGCTTGATGCTTTTTGTAAAGAAATCAAAAGTGAATATATGGGGTTCTCAACTTTCAAGTAACACCTGAAAATGAAGCAGCCAGTCTTCAATCTAGCATTGTCCTTTGGTTTAGTGTTATGGAAATTCGGTTAAGATTAAGACTTCTTAGATTGTGATATCTTGGATAACCATGCAATATTTCTTCGCACATTGGATTTGGGCTATAGCTTCCCCAGAAAAAACCTAAAGAGGAACCATTAGATTAGTGGTGTACTATCTTATCCCGATCCAAAGATCATCCATATGCCATTAGCTTGGAAAAGCAATCTTTCGTGTGTTTTTTTCCATATGAATCCATTCTTATCACAAGCGCAACAAATGATACAAGGGTACCGTTACATAATTAACTACTAGAAAGAAGATTTATTAGTATTACTATTAAATAAATAAATAAAAGGGACTGCAAGAAAAGGGATAGCTAACTAGCGACAGAAGAGTTCTCGCATGCCTTTCATGCGATCCAAGGGCAGTCTGTTCCTCCCACGAGAAGTGACTAAGTAAAAGATAGAATAATCACGAGAGTGCTCGTAAACATTAACTGCTCGTACAACTGTTTATTTTCTTCTTATCTTAGCGGATATTAAAAAGTACTCTCTCCATCCCATAATTATTGTCCAATTTGAATTTTCATTTTTAGTTCAAATTGTACTAAAAGTGAAATCTCAAACTAGATAATAATTTTGGGACAGAGAGAGTATAAAGGATGAAATTGGGGCACATGCATTGCATGTAACAATGATTAAAATATTTGTTATAAAAGTTTTGCCTTCTAAAAAAACTTACCAAACTCGAATTTGAATTAATCAAATCAATAAGTTTTGATACTGATTGCGCAATACTATTAAAAAAAAAAATACAAGGGAGAGAGGAACTCTACACACTCGGCCAAAGTCTTTGCTGGTGGCCACTGAACAAAGCTTTGTACAATTTAAAATTAATATTTGTCTAGACATAAGGTCCTGTACCGCTTTCTTGTGAGATTTTCTGTTACACAATCTAATTATTTTTTATAAGTCATATAATTTATTTTAATACATATACCATAAACTCATATGTTCATGGTAGAGTATGTTTATATTGTTATTTTATTTTTTGTATCATTGGTTTATTTTTAGTGAAATCTGCATATTTTTATTGAATTTTTTAATTTAAAAATTGAAATAAATAAGTCAAATGCAAATGACAAAGTTTATTCAAAACTATTGAATGGTGCAAGAGAGTTAATTATCAATAAGCTGGTTCAATTATAGGGCTTATAGGTTGGTTCATTTAGCAGCTTCAGGCCTTGATCGCCAAATGGGTATATAAATCAATAATAGCTTCCAAAATCCTGCATATCTTTTGCAAAAAATCACAACTTCATTTCACGTACTAACATAGCAAAACGAATTAATTTGATAGTCAATGATAAATGTTGAGTAGATCATTTTCTTAACTGATCATTAATCTTTAAGATGTCAAGAACTGAAACTATAATTAAGAATTTAAGATCAAGTTGGTCCAACTCCTTGATTGATTAAAAAAAATATTGAATAGTCTATGTATCGTCTACAAATTAACATTTACATTCACTTTAACCTACTGTGAGAGACAGCGAAAAAACTGGTTTATTTGGAGGACAAATCTCGCGATTCCCCATCCCCGGTTCCTCCTCGCGCGTGACGATTCCACGTACCGGGATGATGACGTGGTCAACGTCATCACTGACCGGTTTCACCGATCCAAGGTGGAGGATGATGTGGCTTTTCTCAGGTGGCTGCTGGTGCTGGTGATCATGTTTATCATGGTCAGCCGGAGCCTTGAAACGTGCTCGTTTTGCGAGTTCGTTAGCCGATTCCGATAATCTTTCGACATTTTTTATGATTTCAGCTAATACCGAAGCAGCTGCAATCACCTGTACAATCTCCGCTAATGTGCCCCCTCGACCACCAATTTGGTTCAAGGAAAATTTGTCTAGTACGCTTGCGAGCTCATTCATGGCGGAGTTTGAGTTTTGTACATGAGTTTCAAAGGCAGATGAAAGACGGATTCTTTCTTTTAACGATGATGCTATCTCTTTTAGTGCCATTCCGGTTTCAAATCGCATCCGTTCGCATGATGTTGTAATCATTTTCTGTAGTCCAGTTTGTTGTGTCTGCAAACCAAGTTACGTACTTTTTTTTTTTTAAATTGATGAAGTTGTCGAAATGTTACACTTTTTATACATGATGAATCATGAAAATATTTTAAGCGAATATATACCGAACTCAGAATAGGGTAACATAGGGTATTTGGTGTACCTTAGGGTGGGAATATTTAAGGCAATGAAGGACTTCAATTTGGGACGCACATTCCCGAGTAATGGCTCCAATCTTCAAGTATTGTTTCCATGGGTGACAAAACCCGAAGCAACCATGACCTGGCTCCCACCATGCAAAATTCGCCTGTAAATGTTTTTTTTCATTGATATCAATATATTTTTGGGTCACTCCCCACAAAAAAAACAAAAAATTGAGATTAAATATCACAATAAACATAAGCAAATTAACGTTGGTGCTAGCTAGGCAGTAGCTGCAGTTTAACTTACCAAGGATTCTTCAGTGGCTTTGGTACCTAGAACGCTCTTATAGTCATTTGACTTTGGGAGTACTTGAACATTTTCACCTCCGAAACCTGTGATACATTAATCATGGTCAAAAAGTTTGTCATATTCCTTAATCAGTCTAACTAAAAATTAAATAATGACACCTTTGGTTAAGGATTTGGAATATTCCAGGTGATATTAAGTGCTAGTTTTTGTATTAGCACTACCTTGTAGTAAGAAAGTCGCCAACTTTTCAATGTTAGAAATGATCAAATTGTGAAGATCTTCCCCAGCCCAAACCGGGCGTATGAAAACTGAGATAATCATGCAGGTGGCAGCTCCGATCAAGATGGTGGATATCCGCTGATGTGCCAGCTCGAATATTTCCTCCACCCGATAACCCGATACCGTCACCAAACTGAAGGTCAATATGAATATCAACACTCCATAATCGTATCTCTTCTTTATCACTGGGAAAAACCGAACAAATGTGGCCCCCGCAGCTGCAACCAAAATATGAGACTTCATTCGTCAAATTTTAATTTTACCACATTATTATTATTCATCTTATTTCATCATCCCACAAAAGTACTAATTCGGAAAAAAATCAAAAAGGAGTACCAAGTAAGAAGACCAAAATCCCAAGAACAATGGGATCTCCCTTTTGTCCACAAAGGCTGGCAAATCGCTCAGCTGCAATCCCAAGCGCTCCAGCTATGAGCGTTGCGAAACCTCTGTTGATGCATTTCGAAATGGTTCCTCCTGAATTTATATATGTTTTGTTATAAGAAAATTATTCAACGGCTACATATCTATATTTGACAATAATAATAATTATATTACAACAATAATGTAAATACTATTTAAATAAATGTGACTCACCAACTGTAAACTCGAAGACAACAACCACGGTTAAGATTGCCCACATTCCAGACTGACCAAACCCATTGTAAAGTGGTCTGAAATAGTACAAGAGGGATACTATGGTGAGGGCAAGCCCAACTTTGGCAGAGTGAGAGATTCTTCTAGGATCATCTTCCCCAACTTTCTTCACGTTCTTTGCAATATTCCACAAATCCGCCCTTATCTTGGCGGCCAATGCCCCAATCATCCCCCAAGATTTCTCATCCTTCTTGCTACTACTACTAGAATCAATCTCCATTAGCTTTTAATTAGGGTGGCTGAAAATTCTAGTGAAGAATTATCAAAGCTTGATGAGAGAAATGACGATGGAAAAAGTTATAAATAAATGCAACAACTATGAAATGTCGGGATGACCGAAAATTACATTAGTAGTTAGGAAGCTGCTCATATATATAGGCGGCGATGATCGATTGTTTTCCACTAGTGAGTGATGGTGTCATTTTTACTTCATTTGCTTAAAAGGGTTAAATATATTTACAGGTGTCTTCTGATTTTGCTTTTTTTTTTTTTTCTTTTTCAAAAAATAATATTAATTACTACCACACTAAAAAGAGACAAAAGGGCTTCTTTATTTCACCTTCCCTTTGGAACAGCATTAAAAATGTTACTAACCTAATTGGTTATTGTCGTATTTTTCCTTTTTGGGGAAATGGAGACTTGATTAACTAAGAGTAGTAAAAAAATAAAGAATCATGGCTACAGTATTTATGAGCTGGTCGAGTGGACTCTGTTAAAAGACTGAAGAAAATCCCACTGTACTCCACCACCTTTTCCATAATGAACCAAGGAAGAAGCTAGGTAAGCTAAGCTAATACTACCAGTATAAGCCTAATAAACTGATCATCGTAAACGATGCACTTTGTACCACATTGCTGCTAAATGCATCCCCCATAGTCTTTAAATTGAATGAAAGAAAAATTTCTTTTGTTAAAGTCTAAACAGCTTTCCTAATAAGTACGGCTTCTCATTTGGGACAAAATTCAAAGAACAAATGTTCAGAGTCCGTACGTACGGTTGGTCCGCTCCACCGCTAAACTTGCAAAGTGTACATAATAAGGAATATTCCGTCTTGGATGCTCTATTTAAAAATATTTATGATTAAATTTTATAAAAAATGGATTAGTGGTAGTTCTCTCATGTTTGAAAGAGGATGCAAAATCAGCTTTTTCTATTTTTTTTTTAACAAAATTTAGAGAAGTTATTTTCAAAAATAAAAAATAAAAATTTAGAGAAGTTAATTATCATTACTTAAGGGTAAAATTTAATAATTTTTTTTTTAACTTTGCCACAGTGTGTATATAGTAAATTATTAGTAGTTCGGTTTTCAAAAATGAAAAAATAACAGTAGGTTCAAGTAATAACCTCTGATTGTCTAACAAATTAGCTCGATTATAGTAACTGACTAACAATGGCATTTGACGGAACCAAACCGAAAAAAGATGTAGTATATACTATATCCGAAGAGATAGTCAAATATTCGTAACTAACTAATAATAATATCCCTTAAAGCTTTTTGTTAGTGGAGAGAAAGAGAGCTAGCATATAGGGAGTACAAAATATGATGATGAATTAGTGTTCCAAGGATTTTGCTCCACTATTTAACTAGCAGTTATCATCAATTCCAGATGCTGCAAAAACAGGTAATGGATGCAATTTTTGGCACATGATCCAGACTCTATTATAGAGAAACGATATCAGATACCAATCTTGACATATTTCTTCTTTTTTTTTTTTTTAGCTGAACTTTATGTAAATGAAGGTGCAAATATCTCTCTCTCTCTCTCTCTCTCTCTCTCTATATATATATATATATATTTATAAGAGCATAACATATATGAATTCTTTTAACTTTCGTAGAAGATCTTGGTCCACTTTTCATCAATTTTCTTGTTGCATTCCAATTCTCATAAAGTACGAAATTTTTGGCTTAGTCAGCCTCCAACAACAGTGACTAGGATCTTCTTATATGATGACTTTCTCTCCTCTTTTATTCTCCCCCTTTTTTAAGAATAATAAAAAAAAATCAGAGGACGATCGGTGCTGCAATGACAAACTAACATGCAAGTTGCCTTCGATTCAGTCTGTAGAACGCAACATACTATTACTTCCTTAAAGTCTCTAACAGGCGTGTGGCATATCTCGCAATTTGCTCGAAATTTTGGTGATTTCTTTTTCCCTGCAGAGTGGCATATCAAAAATTATAGGGATAAAACACTTATTTCGGAGAATTATATCTCCGTGAACGAATATTATCAAGTTCAATTATGTAAGAAAATAGAGATTAAAATTTGAACGTGTATCGATTTATAATTATCTTATAATTTTCGTATCCAAAAAATTCAAGGGTAAGATTAATATTCAGAGAATGGAGCACTACCCAAACGAGGGAGAGGTGTGGGAAGTGGATTATGGATACGCGGGGAGAAACATCAGTCAACAATTAGAACAAAAATTCTTTCACAGAAACGGAAATTCTCTTTTGGAGCGTGCAAACGTATAGATGACAAGTTGATCCACATCCAAAGTTCCAGATTGTTACCCATATTTCACCTTATAAATGATGTTCACAGGACTGGATAATCGCTACCACCTTGCAAGTTGCGAGTTGCGACTTACTGTTAGTGCGTTATTTTAATGGGGTAAAAATGACGAAGCATTTTAGTAGCTCCGAGAGAAAAAAGTACTAGTAAAAGTAATTTGAGGGAAACAGCGGGATAATATTTCAACAAAGGCGCTAGCTAGCTAGACTTCACTTATTTTTCTTGCCTTTCTTTCACCTTTTTTTTACTCATTTTATGATGATCCTTCCTCGTTATCCTCCTCATTCTTACGTGTCTAGCATCGGTATATTATTCCTTCACATGATTACGTATTTATATTTGTTATAAATTCGTGAATCAAGTTGTAGCGCTAAAAAAAAAGAAATTAGTTTTACGCCTTTTTATTAATGGTTCTTATATGTTGTTCAAAAGTGAGAGGACAATATTTTGAGTTCAAACGGCCGCTCAATTATAATTCCATTGTACCAAAATTATTGACCAATTAGAGATTTGATTTTTAGTATAATTAATTTAAAAATAAAAATTCAAAGTAAATAATAAATTCAACACGGATGAAAGTATCTAAAATACGGTTTTCCGAACAAATCAGGAGAAGCATTTGCATGGTAGCATGGTGAATCCTTCCTTTTTGCTATTTTGCAAACATAAACTATGAATCATTTGGGCCCAATTATTAGCTGAAGAATAGCCCATAGATATGCAAAGCGAACCCGCTTTTTACAAAAGATGATTTGGAGTTTTGGATGCAGCTTTGACATGAATAATATTGAACAGTCTGCCAATATCCCTTTTGGAAAGCCCGTATATTCACGTAAGAACCCAGATTAGTTAGAAGCTCTTACTTGCACTCACCAAGAGGACCAATTGACTAATTTATGAAGACCATCTTTTTCATTGCACATGAGCCTAAAATCCCAATGAAATAACTAGAGTTTTTGTTGTGATAATTCTATATCGATTTTTTCAAATTAATCGCGCATGGTATTCTAGTAAAAAATTTAAAAGAGATACACATACACTCCTTTTGTTCCCATATTAATTATCTATATTGCTTAACTAAAGAAAGTAGATTGTTAGAATTTTTTTTTTAAATAATAGCAAGATCTAAACAAGCCAATTCGACTACAGTAAAAGGAGATGGAAAGACAAGGTACTATCATATTCATGGTTGGTGATGAAATGAAACTACGTACCCAAGACTTTTTTGACTGTCTCTCTATTTTATCTCTCTAGACTTTTTCTCTCAACAAAAATTTGACTGCTTGGGGCCCAAATGTCTAAACAACCGGAAGGGGAGGGAGTACCCCCTATCCAGCCGCCGCAGAACCCAATACTGCCGGGGATGGAAGATGGGACTAACAAGAAGCCCATATACCAAGGATTTGAGGAGAGATTTGGACCAATTCTAAGGGAAACATTCAGAGAGAGATTACTCCGGCAGGGGAAGAAGAAAGAGGTACCAATGTTTGCAGATAACGATGACTTCGAGACTTTGGATGATGACATGGAAATTGTGGATGATGGGCTACGGTCAAAGATTCACTTTTCACAGAGGATTAAGGATATTATGGGAAAGCCATGGGAGGAGCATGCAGTGTATGTGAAGTTGATGAATGATAAAACAGTGGCGGTTGCAACTCCCAGCGACCGATTGGATTCCCTGTGGCCAGAATCGGAGGGTCAATCTATAATGTACTATGATAATAGATACTTCTTGGTCAGATTCATGAGGAAGGAGGATGCTACACATGCGTTGACCAGGTGTCCTTGGGTGTTATTGGATAGCTATCTGCATATTCAGCCTTGGGAATGCAATTTCAATGCCCAGGCTAACAAAATTGAATCAATGGTGGTATGGATTAGGTTGCCGGGGATTCCGGTGGACTATTACAAGAAGATCCTTCGACGCTTTGGGAGATTGCTACGGAGAGTTGTCCACGTTGACCAATAAATGGCAGCAATAACAATGGGGAAATTTGCGAGGATTGCAATGGAGATAGATTTGAATAAGCCACTGAAAGCTCAATTTCATTTGGATTGACGGACTCAGAGAATTGAATACGAGAATTTGCCCCTCATTTGTTACAGTTGTGGTCGATATGGACAGCAAGCCAGAGTTTGTCCGACCAAAAGTCAGGGAACTTCGCCGGCAGGGAGGGAAGACCGGAACAGTGATGAAAAAAGTAATCTAACATGTGAGGGTACGCAAACAGATACGTTAGGCTATGGGCCCTGGATGGAAGTGACAAAGCGGGGAAGGCTAATGAGACAAGTGCCTCCAACCATGGGTCCAAGCCAAAGAATTGCTGGGTCATGATTTGGTCCATTGCGAGAGACTGGTGAGGAATGTCAGGTGGAAGTACAAGAGACAAGGGAAGTACCGTACAAGGGGGCCAATGAAGATAGGGACAAAGAAGTTGGAAGGGAAGTCAACATCATGACCCAGAAATCACGGTCACGGGGGGGGGAGGGAGGAAGGGGAATAGAAAACAGTGCTTCAACGTTCAAAGGGAAGGCAACTCAATTCAATCAAGAAAAGGCCGGCTAGATCAATGATGGACCAACCCAAGACCATATTGACCAAGTCCAGTAAAAGCAAGGCCCAAGAAGAGATAAGGAAAAAGATGGATGTGGGTGAGCCCGCTGGAAATCAGATGGAGGGTATGATGATGGTAGGGAAGGACCACTATGAGGTAAAAAAGGCTCACACAACACTGGATCCAGCTAAACATAGAGATGTAATAGTGTCCATGGGTTTGAAACCTAACCCAACAAGACCACCAGAGTTGGGAAACATAGACCCAGAAAGCAGTAACAAAAGTGTGGATATTCTGATGGAAGTTGTACCACCAGACTAGAATGACCGATGGGAAACAATGGCCGAAGCCGAAGGTGATAGTGAGGAAAAGCCAGCATCGTTGGAAGAAGAGAGAGCCATGGAGGAGGAGACAGAGATATGGGTGATGGCCCACGATAACTTCTAAGAGGTAGACCCGACTTATCCATTTCAAATAAAGTTTAATGATAATTAACGCAAGAATTTTTGCTAGGAATGTCCAAGGGGCAACATCCAAGGAGTTCTGTAAAACTTTTAAAGATTTCATGAGAGATCATAGACCGGAGGTAGTGGCAATATTTGAACCACGAATTGGAGGTTCTGATGTAGATAAGTTTATTAGGAGGAGTGGATTTGAATTCTCGTTTTGGGTTGAAGCGGAGGGTTTTTCGAGAGGGGGAGATATGGATTTTATAGAAGAATTCGGTGGCGGTTGAAGTGGTGGCTTGTCACAAACAATTTGTCCACACCATAGTGACAAGTGGTATGGAACAGATGTTTTGTACTTTTGTGTATGCTAACCCTTGGCCAGGGCCGAGGAGGGCTTTGTGGGAGGATCTTTTGATATTGGCGGAAAGGATCTCTTTGGGCTGATTAGAGGAGACATGAACTATATACTCCATCAATCAAAAAGGCAAGAAGGAGCTGTAAGGCATGGAAGGCATCGTAATTTATTTTCTAATTTTGTGTTCCAAGCGGGGTTGCTGGATACACCAACGGTGGGAACAAAATTCATATGGGGTCGTGAAAATCTTCTAAAAAAACTTGATAGATTTATGTGTAATGCCCTATGGATGGAGAAGTATGGGGAGGCAGATGTGCTCCATTTAGAGAAGCTGAACTCAGACCACCATCCTTTATTGGTCAAAACGGTGGGTGGCCAAGGGGAGCGGAGGGGCGGAGCGAGCTTCAAATTCATGGCAACGTGGCTGCTTCATGAGGAATTTGATGACATGTTAAGAGGAAGCTGAGAACAAGGTGCAGGGTTGGAGCATGCAATCAAAAATTTTCAGGAAGAAACAGGGAGGTGGAACAAGGAAGTGTTTGGTAGTATATTCAAGAGGAAGAGAAGGGCTCTAGCTCGCATTGGGGGAATACAGAGGGCGAAGGAAAGATATGTAACTCCAAAACTTTTGGCACTTGAGACGGAAATCATGGAAGAGTTAGAGGAGTTGAAAGTGCAGGAGGAAATACTACTCATTTGAAAAGCTAATAGGAAGTAGACATTAAATGGGGATAGGAACACATCCTATTACCATGGTGTAATACGGGCCATAGGAATAGGAGCAGAATACTACAACTCAAAGATGATGAGGGGAAACTAGTGGAAGGGCAAGAGAAGCTAGAGGAATTGGCGGCTGAGTACTTTAAGAGACTATATATAGCATCAGGGGGTGAGAAGGTGCCAATCAGGGGGAATAATAGATTCCCAGAAATACAAGCACCACAGATGCGGTTGCTGGAGAGGGGAGTAATGGAGAAGGAAATCAAGGCGGCGTTGGATGAGATGCACCCGCTAAAGGCACCTGGGCCAGATGGCATCCATGCCATCCTTTATCAAAAGAAGTGGGAGGTGGTCAGGCAGGAGATATGTGAAGAGGTGAGGGAGGTAATCAAAGATCGGAAAAGCCTAGAAGCCATCAATCAAATGTTGGTTGTGTTAATCCCAAGGTGGAGCAGCCGGAACTAATGAAAGAATTCTGACCAATAACCTTGTGTAACGTCATTTACAAATTGATCACCAAACTCTTGGCAAATAGAATCAAAGGGGTACTGCTAGAGATTATAAGGGCGGCCCAAGCTAGTTTCGTGCCAGGAAGGCATGTAACGGACAACATCATAGTTGCCCAAGAAGTTATCCACAGAATGAAAGGGAAACAAGGGAAAAAGGGGTTAATGGCGATAAAGTTGGATTTGGAAAAGGCATACGATATGTTAAATTGGGATTCTGTGGAAGAAACATTGAAACTAGCAAAGCTGCCGGAGGAGATAACTAGGTGTGTGATGGCGTGCATAACGTCAGCTTCCATGCAAATACTAGTGAATAATGGTGTGACTCTAAAATTCAAGCCAACGCGTGGGATAAGGCAAGGGGACCCAATGTCCCCTTACCTATTCGTCATGTGTATAGAAAAATTTGGACACTTAATCTCACAGGAGGTGAACCAACGTAGGTGGAAACCATTCACCATGGGCGAGAAAAATTCGAATTGCCTTACCTCATGTTTGCCAATGACCTTATGCTATTTATGGAAGCTGATGTTGAACAAGCAGGATGCTTAAAGCGGGTGATGGAGACCTTCTCAAAGGCATCTGGCCTAAGAGTAAGTGAGCCAAAAACTACCATTCACTTTTCGGCCAATGTTCAACAGGAGGTTAGGAGGGAGGTGATTGATGTGTTGGGATTTAGGGAAGTAGAAGAGCTGGGGAAATACTTGGGCGTACCTATGATTCATGGGAGAGTGGGGAAGAGTACGTATGAGGGGGTGCTTGAAAAAGTCTAAAAGGCACTAACATGATGGAAGACTAAGACCTTATCTCTTGCTGGCCGGATAACATTAATGAAATCAGTGCTCACAGTGTTGCCGTACTATCAAATGCAATCGGCGATGATACCGGTGGCGACGTGCAATGAAATTGAAAAGCTATTTAGAAGGTTTGTGTGAGGGAAGAAACAAAGAACAGAGAAAGCAGAGCCTGGTAGGGTGGGAATCGTTATGCACAGTCAAAGAAGAAGGAGGACTTGGGCTGAAGAGGGGGAAAAACATGAATAGGGCTTTTAAAATGAAACTGGGCTGACAGCTTCTGGCCAACCCAAATTCGTTTTGGGCCCAAAGTTTTAAGGCTAAGTACGGGATTGGACCAACGGTGGGGGAGGGGATGAATAGAAGAAATGGGTCTGTAGTTTTTAGGCCTATCAATAAAGTGTGGGCTAATATTCAGAAGGGGGTTAGGTGGGCAATAGGCAACGGAGAGTCAGCCGATTATTGGGTTGACAGTTGGGCCCCGGGATATAGGAGATTAGATGCGTTGGTAGTAGCCCAGATCCCAGAGAACCAACTACAGTGGAGGGTTTGTGATATGCTAAAGGAGAGTGGGGAGTGGAATTGGGAAGTGGTGGATTCGTTACTGCTACGGGAGCTGATGGAGGCTCTAGCAACAATACAACCACCGTCACTGGAGAAGGGGGAAGACAAACCGTTTTGGATAGCTTCAACGGGAAGGGAGTTTGCCACGAAATCGGCAATACCAATCACTAATGCCGACGGAGGATAGAAGCCTTGAGAAACTATGAAAAAGGATTTGGAGTTGAGGAGGACCAGAGAGGGTCAGAACCTGTTTATGGCTGGTGGCAAGAGAGAGGCTGATGACCAATCAGCAGAGGTTCCAGAAGAGGTTCACTGATGATCCGCTTTGTCCACGGTGTGGTCTTATGCCGGAGACGTGAGTCACGTGGTCAGGGACTGCGCCGATGGCAAAACTGTTATGGCTGCAATTAATTCCCAGGGGTGAGGAGGGAAATTTCTTTGAAATTGAGATGGATGAGTGGATGATGAAAAATCTGGCAAGAAAGGAGGGGAGTAGGGGGAGGTGGGGGCGGTGTTTAGAGTTACAATTTGGAAGCTGTGGCTGTGGCGGAATGAATTGGTGTTTGGGACTGAGAAGACTAAACGAAGTAGGAGAGTGGAGGAGATTCGGAGGATAGTTGAGTGGATAAGGATAGCACTAGACAGCCAAAGAAAGATAGGAAGCAAGGGGATAGGAGGGAGGAGAGTTAGATAAAATGGGAGAAGCCACCGGAGGGATGTTGGAAATTGAATACAGATGAGGCATTTGATGAAATGTCAAGGGAGAGTAGAGCAGGGGGACTTTTGAGGGATGAGGTGGGAGCATGGAAAGGGGGCTTTTGGGCATAGGTTGGACCAGCAACAATTATAAGGGCTGAGTTTCAAGCCCTGTATCATGGTCTTAATTTGGGATGGGAGCTGGGAGCGAGACGGATCCAAGCAGAGATAGATAGCACTACCGCTGTCAAATGATGATTGACCGGAACGACAACCCAAAAGAGCACAGACCTATTTTGCATGCGATCAGGGAAATTTTGGACATAAATTGGATAGTGGAGATTCGACATATATAACGTGGGGCCAATTTTGCATCCGATTTAATGGCAACGATCCTAAAGTCAAAAAATTGGGAATACCGATATCATATAGATCCACCGCCTTCTGTGAGGAGATGGCTCAAACATGATGTTGGGGGAAATTTACCATTCCCGTTCTGTTGTAATTTGACGCTAGGCGTATGCCTCCTTAATTCCAAAAAAAAAAAAAAAGAAACTACGTACCCCAAATGTTCTAACTCATGTTTTTAGAGCCACGAGACGCATATGATCCAAATTAAGTTGGATTTGGGCCCCAAAGAAAAACCGAAACGGTAGTAGGACACCACAGTCCAGGCCCCAAAATGGGAATTCCATCATGGGATTTAAGCAACAATAAAGGGGTCAGTGATAACAGAAGTATGGCCCTTGAGGTCTTCATCATTGTTTCCCAAATTCACTCAACCAGCCGAAACATGGGACAATTTCATTTCAGTTCTGTCCATTTCATGTTTCGAAAATTAGAATTCACGAAAATTTTCCAGAATAATATTTACCAAGTGCTTGAGATACTTGAGTTTTTTTTTAAAAAAAAAACTCCAAAATTGGGTTTACAGCAAAGGCAAGAGAATGAATTTGATTCACCGAATTTGTTACTCTTTTTATTAAACACATGACGATCGTAGAATCGTTTTAGGACGGAAGAAAATTATAATACATGTAAAAGTAGCGTACACACTTTTGTGGAAGCCATCTTGTTGGAACAGCATATATCTAACACTTTCTCACCTTATTATATAAATAGTCTTAGTCATTTTCCATCACTTATGATTTTTAGAATTCAATATATTAAATTATATTCACTTTCCTTTCTCTTTTGTTGCGTTAGAAGCCAACAATAACTGTATCAGAACAGCAACATGGACTTCATATGAATCATATGATGTGATCTCAAACTGAACACGTCGCTATTCCAAAGCATGTAGAGAGGATCATATCTCTCTACTAACCAGAAAGTGATGAAAAATCTAGTCTGAATTATTTAATTAACTCAGCAAAGTGACCCGAAAGATACATGCATTTAGATATGTATACACAATTTGCATGATCTGAAAAAAGGTGTATTAACACATCATATACACCATATAATTAATTAAATGAAACAGTATCTAACCTTCTTTCTTCCTAAATACAACTTTTGTTTCTTTAGGGTTCTTAAAAAAAAAATAAAGAAGAAGAAGAGATTTGATACGTTTTGGGATCTAGAGTTGTCTTTACTTTGTCAAGCACAAAACCTCTAAAATTCCAAGCATGAATTCACGGTAAAAAGTAAGCCCACACCCACGAATTTTCTTCAAAAGATGATCACTAAATCATTTGTTTAAATCGGGATCATGATGAACCACCAAGAGTAAAGGGTACAGGACTACAATTTTTTAATTAGAAGTTAGATTTTTATTGCCACTATGTTGTAGTAGTATTAATTTAACGCAATCTCGATCACCGCATTGGGGAAAAAAAGTGGTTTTCATGAGATCATTATGAAAGGGAAGAAAAAAATGGGCTATAGTGCTTACCTTCTTTTGGTTAAAATATTAGTTTTTGTGACACTTTTAAGGTCTTAGGATAAGAGCTTTAAGGTCACAATCCATTTCTTTTAGGGACTAAGAAAGACTTAACAACACATGGATAGTGCAATCAGTTCTTAATAGATGTTTTTGGGCGCCAGATTGCCAAACTCATCGAATATCGTTAATCATTTCTCTCCAAGGATCCTTCGTTACCGAAAAAAGAAATAAAAAATTCAACAAATATTTTTTGAAAAAAAAATGATTTAGAGGGGTTCAGTTTAATTACATCTGTCTGAGAGATTTTAGAAGGGGTCAAGGAAGGAGAAAAAAAAACAAAGAAAAGAAAAAGTCAGTGTCACGTACTGGAGAGTGAATATTAAAGTAACGGATGTTCGACGACGTACTAGGCGGGTCAAGACCTAACTGAGAATTTCTTAAATTATTTGGACCTAAAACAAGCCACGTTTCACCATTAACATAAGACCAATTCCCCTTAATTTCTCTCTCCCGGTCCCGGCTATCTAGCTACTGA